ATCCTATTCGACACGAAATACTGTAGATCTCAAATTTCCGGCTTAATAGCGGAAATTGGAACATATCTTAAGCCAAGTTGAGCATTTTTTTCCGTCGGGAATGTATTCTAGTGCGTTCTGAGGGGTGATTATTATAAATAATCACCAGTCCCCGGAAAATGACAAATAATTACACGCTTCACATCCTTTTATTAACAATTCTACTGAATTTGTGAGTTCGATGCGACGAGTCAGAACAACGTAAATAATAAGAAGCATAAGAAATATGATACCGGAAGATGTCCGCATATACATATAAATATGTTTGTACATGGAATTAGAACACTTCCGCATTTATGAAATCACTTTTTTCCACAACGAATATTTGTTTGAAAAAGAGAATGCAGCATTTTTCGAAACTGCAATGATGTCCGCAGCAAGTCATGTAATGAATTTCAATAAAAAAATTCGAATAGAAATTGTCATGAAAACATAAACTAAAAAAAATGCGGCATAATACGGGTCGCCTTTTAAAATTTCCTATATTAAAAAAACTTGCACAACAATGCGCGGAAGTCAATGGGAGTGTTCCCCCCTGGCCAAAATAATGCGTTATTTATTATTACTATTATTGTACCGAGCAAGGTTTATGAATAGAATTCACCATCGAAAATATTCATATAGATTTCGTGATGATGAATTTCCTTTTTTGCCGGTAAAACAACAACAACAACACATGCAACGAAATTCAATTACCTTTATCCAAATTTAGAATGTGAGGAAGTTGCAAAAAGTGGGTAGAATTTTCACGTGTATCACTTTTTTTTGGTTGGCTTTGTTGGACGGCCCACCGATTCAGCTAACTATGCAAGTTTTTATGCGTTTGAAACATGAAGAAAGATGCCCATATTGGGTAAGCCGGATGCAAACAATGATCGCAAATGTTGAGTTATTGGGCATAGGAAATGGGGCGCATTTTTCATCAGAAAATTAAAAAGAAACAATAAAAACAATTTTTAATTTTTTGGTTTTTTTTCAATTGCCAAAGGGTTTTTTTGAAATCCAGAAAAAGTTTTTTTTAATAATTACATTTCTAAAGCAAGACCTAGTCTGCTGGGATATTTACTCACTTTTTTTCAGGATTGCTAAAATGGAATAATTCAAATAAGAGAGAAAACCTTATAAGGAAACACATTTTATTTTTTAAATTTATTGCTTATCTGTGATCAATAATTAACTCATTAGCTTTTAAAAAAAAATTATTTGATTTTTTAATTTAAGTATTTCTGTCATAAATATAAATGTTCTCAAAATTTGAAAAATTGTAAGAGGTAGCCGAAAAATGCTCACTACACTTTTATAGCAAATCTAAGAAAGCACCTTTGTTCCATATGTATTTTCAATATAGGAATTTCAAATAAAAAAGAAAAAATCTTCTCTTATTGTTTTTTAATTTTTTTTACTAATATATTGGGTTTTTAATTGATGTAAATTTTGAAATATTGAGAAAAACGTAAATTCTTAAAACCGATGTTGCCCTTCTTGTTTCTTTGAGTTTTTGAGCCTCCCATTAATTTCATTATACTCCCTCCAACGTTGCTTCTTTGAAGTTATTGGAATTGCAAATGTCCGCAGATGCAATCATTGATACCTCAAAACTTACAGAGATTTGTACAAAAGACGGGAAAGCAACCAGGAAGCCAGCTTGAAAGTTGTGTCCTGAAACGAAATTCGTGAAAAATTGGTGCGTCGTAAATTTTTTGTTGTGGTTGTTTTTTAAATATTACACAACTTACAATTTCTTTGAATGAAAAATTCAAGAAAATCTTTCAATTATGACATCGAGAATATGGAAAATGGGGGGAAGAGGGATTTGCAACGGATGGGGGAAGGCGGCGACGACAAAAAAAATTTATATTCATACATTTATATATGTGACGAAAAACAATGATCTGAGAACGTCAACTCATCTGTCATCGTGTGAAAAGCCTCAATTTGTTGGTGGACATTTTGCATCTTTCCAAAGATGTGCACATAGTGATTTATAGTAGTCATTTTATGGGAGGGATGTTTCACAAACCTTAATGTTGAGACATAATATGTGGAGGCGTACCAATTTCGAAAATGCGAGCAACGCTTATATATCTCAACCCGATAAAAAATTCATCTACTCATCAATTCAACTCAACATGGGAAAAATACTTTTCATAATATTTGATATGCACTTTGCGCGGGACAAACGAGAACGTGGAGGACGAGGAAGATCCATTTTTTAATTTTAATAATTGTTTAAGATAGTGGCACCTTCACTGTTGATCAATCAAAAAGAAAAAAAGTCATTTTTAGTTTTCTTCTTTAGTTTTATGTTTGATAATAAATACCAATGCTTATACAAATATGATATTACTATTACAATCGCAAAAAAGAGTACCTTGCTGTGAGCAATTTATAAATTACCGCGAGCTTTATGTGCAGGTTACTGTACACAAAATTCCAAAATTTGTTGAAACTGAAATTTCAATTACCGCGCTGAATTCATTTATTTTCCTCAAACACACATGGTGCTAGAATTTTTGCGATTGTAAGTTTCACAGCAAAAGTATCGTTCATTTTCTTTTATTCGTGAGGGAACACATGACCTAATTAGTTCAAAACCCTTTACCGCCGATATCTTCTCAAAAGTTTCTAGTTTTTATTTAAAATTTGCTCTAGTTTCTCTATAATCATATAGAGAAATTTTTTGTGTGGGAGGTTATAGAATTCAAATCAAATCAAAAAATGCTCGGGGAGTTGCAAATAATTCTTAACAGCGTAAAAATTGTTGATCTTTTATTTTGGACTTGAGATGAATTAAAAATATTTTTTTTTAATTTTAGGAATGTCACAATTGCTCCATTGAGAATGTCTATATCGTGAATTTGATATAATACAAAAATTTGGGGAAGCACGTTTTTTCTCTTGTAGACATAAATTAAAAAATTTTAAATTAATCGAAGACTAAGAATAACGTAATATTGCCGAGCTATGGCATCACGACTTACACTTTGAATTTCAGAATTTTTTGCGATCTCCTCAGATAAATTGAATTATAAATATACAACTCAAATCTGTGTGGAATATGTTAGTCACGGAAGACTGGAAATAAATAATAAAAATTTTCAATTTGGAACATAATAAAAACGACGGAGAAAACAAATGAAAATCCCATAGAAGGTGTTGTAGAAGTGGAAAACAAGGCGGCAAGAAGAAAAAAAAGGAACGTAACATAACCAGAAGGAGCTGGATTGGTTTAAATATCAAAGTTTGACACAATTGGCACCTTGAAAGATGCAAAAAGATAGTTAGGGGGGTCCCAAAAAAGAAGAAAAAAAGCAAAAACAACATTTCATTACATTTGAATCGTTGGCGCGGAATCAAGTTCTTCCCCCCTATATTAGCTTCTCGTTTGCAAAACGGCCAAATACAATTGTCTTAAAATTTTTTTTCGAAAGAACTGGAAATGAGTGAAAAGTCGTAACACTACGCGAAAACAAAGATTTTGAGGTCTTTGGTAGAAGAAGAAAAAAAAACCAAAAGTTGCACTCAAAAATATTGCAAAGAAGACCGGAATTTTTGATGATTGTTTTGACAACAATGCACAATGAGCAAGTTTAATGAAATAATCTGAAGAAAGATGAATTGCTCAAGTTAAGTGCACAATGGAAATTAGCAACATTCAATTCTATTACTAATCGAATCTTTTCCAATTTTTCAGGCGTTGAAGAACTTTTTGGCATCAATATGTAAGATTCTCTTACCTTTTAAGGAATATTATAGCGGTGCGTGCATTTAGGCAAAAAAACGTTTTATCTTTAGATTGGCTAGCAAGCAACATTCAAAAGATGAAAATCTTGATAGCAAATTAGTTTCGATGAACTCTAATGAACTAATTGGATATCCTAGAATTTCATTATGTGGCTAAATTTTTACGCAGAGAAAAATTCAAGCTTGACATGAATATTAATGAAAAACGACTCTTGGGTTGGAGCAAAAATAGTATAATGATTGCAAAAAAGCGAGGTAGTTGAAAGTTGATGATTTGAGCAGCGTGCGGGCTTACAAAGGGTTTAGCGCGCACGGCGAGCATCCAAGAAGCTCAAAAAATATCATAAAAATGCACAATTGTTAGTTTCGGTCAGGTCTCTGCAAAAAAAGAAGAGTTAAAGGTAATCTGTGGTGTTAGCCAAAATGCGTTTCACCCACAAAAATAGAAAAAAAATGTCAACTGCATAAAGTATGAGATGGGTTAAAGTATTAGCTAGTGTCTAAATTCGTATATCGTCATGAAAGTTGCAGGAAAGGTTCCCTACAAAACGCTAACCTTTCTACGGTAGTTCTTTTTTTCTGGTATAGATTTATGGACTCCTCAAAGTTAAGCTTTAAAATCTATGTAATAAAACACCCGCGTGGATTAGGCCTCTGCGAGTGACAATGGTATTTATACTGTAGCTAATTTATGAGCGAGCATTTGCAAAACCTTTAATCTACATGCCGCCAACGTAGAAAGTACTTAAATTCCACTCATTTGTCTTGAGCGGCAAACATGTGAAACCAAGAGATTTTTTTGGTTTCGAATCATACTCCTCTTCCCCTTGTTCGACAACATGTAAAACACTCATTATGCCAAAAAGACTGCATGGTAATTATTCATTCAGCTAGGAAAACAATAATGTCTGAAATTTGAAACGAACATTATTTTTTCTCTGTTATGTCGATGGGCGTCTTCGAGAATCGCGCCAATGTGCGCGAGGATTTAAATTATGGGCTTTTCGTGCCACATTTAATCCCAAGGCCTAGTTTAATTGTTTGCAAAAGAATTATAAATGTTGTATAGTTCTTTTAAGCTCCTTGTACTGGCATCGGTTTATTTTTCAAATTTTTTTTGCAACTTCATAGAGCTCAAAGTATTATTTGCAATATATGTTTTATCTCGTCGCTGCTGAACACAAAGAAGAATTTTGGTTGCGAGAAAAGGGATCTGATTATTTCGGGCTCTCCGTTGTGGCGACGGCAAGCGACTTTCGACGAAGATAGGCAACGGCTTCCACTAGGTCTTCTGGACGCCTTTCACATACCGAGCCATATCTATAAAACGGCATGTGAGACGGTAATGAAGTTGGATTGCTACCGCGGTCGATTTTCTTCAAAATGATTGTTTCGTTGCGGTTTTGAGCGTAACGATGAGCGAAGATGACTTGAAAATGTCGGCGGTGGGATTGATTCTTTTGGTGATGAGACTGGGTGCTCGGGAACAACAGATGGATGCACAGTGGTACTACCACGAGATATCTATTGAATTTAATGTAATATTGTTTCAAGTTAAGATTTTTGACGGCTCGTTTGATTACCTCCAGTGGCGGCGTCAAAATATCCACAATATTCGTTGAAACATGTCGTAGTGCTTTAAATGAATCGCTTTTACAGGATTTTTTGTGCTCCGATTTCACAATCAGTTCCGTATTTTCCAAAGCATTTCGCACCTGCAAAACGAAACAGCAGGTCCATTCAGAATTGATATTCAACAAACATCAACAAGCGCTACAACTCCCACCAATCTTCCGCAATCCGTCACATATGCTTTACTGAGTTGAAGCATTGAGAAAATTGAATGAATCTGATATCAGAACTTTCCTAATCAATTTCACGTCAATATTCTTCTACCTTGTACAGTGATGTTTTTTTAACAAACTGAATTGGAGCTGGATAAATATTATTCTCTCCGAGTTCGACTTCTTGCGACAATTGCTCCTCTTCCCACATTTTTCGCTACAAATTATTCTCGTTTCAATTTTATTGGGATGACTCATCACTTCCTCGTCACTTAGGTCGTAACACGAATTTTTCTTGGACTCCTTTTTCAATGGTCCGTGCTTCATATGCGTTAGGTACTTTTTTGCTTGTTTGATGTAATCTGAATGAATACATGAATGTTGCAAACTTTTTCCACGGTTAACACTCTCATGTTTTGAATAATTGAATATTCTTGGAAAAAATTCGAGTTATTCCCAAGTTTTTTTCTAAATTCTAATGTAAGTAAAACTCTACTTTTAATTATAAGGTAATGCTCATTGGGACTTCCATTGATAGTATGATGCTCAATTCCATGCTCTTCAAGAAATTCTGAAAATAATATGAAGTTGTGACGTAAATGAGTATGATGATTGAGACCACTATTTGGTCGCTCAGCTCGTTCTTGTAAGCTGAATAATGCATTTCTCCGACTTGCCGAATTTCGTCGGCATAATGTGTTTTCAACGGGCGCTTCTGGTGGAATTGAAACCGGTGGGAACACAACTTTGGGATGTCTATATTCAGACAGTGGCACTATGGTAAAGCGTCTGAAATTCATTATTGCTTTTTTTTATACAATGGTTTCTGCGAAATTTCTAACGCTTTCGATTCTGCCACTGGAAATCGATGATCAGTTTCAGTGTCGAGAGCGGCGCAATCATTTTCCGATTGTACTTTCCGCCGCTGCTCCGTCAACTCCTTTTCAGAGTCTTTGAAATGATGATCGATTGTTTCAATGGCACGTCGCACTCGTTTCTCAGCTTCTTCTTTTCTAGCAACTTCTCCAATCTGAAAAATTGAATATGCGATTAATCTGATTTCAATTATTGGGTTCATGCCTTCTTTTCAAGAAGTTCTGCCAAAAATCCATGAGAAATTGTGCCAACGAGCATTTGGGATGCTAAAATTTGTTTTCTCAAAATTAATCTTTTTTGAACATACATTTATTGTCAACAACTGGAAATAAGCGCAATTGAGTCTCAACCATTTCTTGAATTTCTCGATATGTGGTAACCTTTGTTAAGAATTTCACAGGTGAAACCATGATTTGCTCAGCGCAAGTGGTGTGAACTCTGAATAATCTCATCAATATCAAATAAGTGGTATAAGATGTACAGGTTATTGGCTGGTGGAATGTCAGGAAGGAACGGTAAATGCTTGATTTTGATGATTGTATCAAAAAATGATGGATGGAGATAAGCACAAACTGCATTCGATAGCATTACGGCAATCTGTAAGCACGTTATAATCGATTCTTTCAAAAAAAAAAATCAATTGGTACCACGCCCCGCCCACGTACGAATTTTCGCCAAAATATACTAGATAAAGAAGTTGGTTAAAATTTACCATAACAGGAAGAATGAAGTGAAGCTGTCCAGTGATTTCAAATATCATCACAGATACTGAAACGGTGTGCGTCACCGAGGCTGAAAATGACGCTGCTCCTAAATAACGAAAAAAAAAAGAACAATTGAGTAGCTTATGAGACTTACCAACTACGGCATAAATACCGGGAGCAATACGCACAGAATTACCAAACGACTGCCGAATAATCTAGAATGTTTGAATTATTCAATAAAATACGAAAACATTTTCACCTCCCCAAATAATCGCCCAATAGCTGAGCCCAAGACGAAGACCGGTAAAAATACACCCGATGGGATTGGCAATGTGAAGCTTATAATCGAACAGAAGAACTGGAACGCATTCTCATTATTTTAAAAGACATTCGCAGTTTACATGAACTGTCACAAATAGAAATAGAAGCATTAGAATATTTCCTCTATTGAGCCAATGCGAATAGATTTCCGCACCACAACCCATAGGCTCATCAGGTAGAGCAAGAAATGAGCAATTTGAGAAGAAGTCTCGGAGATTCGCACCAAATTTAATCTTTAAATTCAATTTTCAAAACACCGGAAGCTTCTTTGACAATCACCCTTCCAGTTGTGAACATTCCCAAACCATGAGGGTATGCTAGACATGAAAAAAGGAATGATATAATAATGGGGTACACGAGCCAACTGTAATTATCGAAATAGAAAAAATATTCGTTTGAATCGTACTTTCTTTGAAAAAGTCGCTTCGAAATTTGATTTTTCCTGAGAAACATGACCAGCGTTCGGTAGACACGGATATAGATGGCTCCGAGAAGGCCGCAAAGCACACCGAGCACCGCAAACAACGGCAGTTCATCGACAGAAAATGAGTCTCGATCGAATGTTGTCTGATAAAACGCATTGACAGTAACTGAAAATCGTATAAATTTTTTCAATAGGAGTGATGGCAGAAATTTGCCTTCAGTTTGCGCAACATAGCCACGTAATAGGCGAATCGTTGTCGCACCACAACAGGCGGCGAAGAATCCTTTCCAATAGCTTCGCACGGAAAAGTACATAGTTGTAACTTCGATGGAAAATAGAACACCTTTGATGAATGCATTATTGATTCAATAAACGGATTTTACCTCCAACTGGTGCGCTGAATGTACAAGCAACACCAACAGCACATGCAGCCGCGAGGCATTCCATTCTTCGAGTTTCTTCGCGATAGGCTGGATCAAATCGTGCTGCTAACAAGCACATTTGATTGGCAACAACCGACGCGATGTGAACAAATGGTCCCTGAACAAGAATTAAATGGCAAAACTCGTTGATACATAAATAGTACCATTTTTCCTATCGGCATACCGCTAGCCATTGCCAATGTAATTCCGACCACTTTTGACACTAACGTTTTAAACGTCAGATAGTCGATAAGAATTACGCCGCGGATAATTGTTTTCATTTCAGGTATGCCTGAGCCTTAAAAAAATTCTGTAAATAAATGGGTTTAAAAGAAATGCACCTATCGCTTGTGGCGCGACGAAATGAACAAAACAGGCTGACATTGCGACGAGGCCCACAGTGTATCCGGACCAGCTGGAGAATCCTAACATCCGTGTGAAGTATGATTGATCAGGGCTATGCAAATTATATATAGTGACAGTTTTTCGTTGAACTGAAATGTTATCTATTATAAATTGTTCGGTTTTCTGAAATTTCCAACTATAATGCAATAGGAACGTCGTCATTTCTACTGCAATCGAAATAAATGCAACAAAAACACCCAAAAGTGCAAGAAATAACCAATCGGCTAGAAGATTTGATAATGAGGTGAGGTGCTTATCTGAAAAAGAAATTGAAGTCATTATTTAATCGAGTAATTGATTTGTTACGAATTTTGTTCAATAATCGATTTCGAAACATCCTTGGAGTTTTTCTGAATTGCGGAATTTCCATATCGAAATTGTCAATGGTAAATGTGACCTTCCTCTCAGGATTGATTGCCCCTGATATCTGAATAATCATAAATATTATAATTCCTTTAGAGAAGCTTACCATATATCCTCGTTGTTTTGAAGCCTCTGCCATTTCTTGAAAGCTACGGTACCTTTGTTGAGTAATGCTTCTCGTTCTTCGTAACTTGCCTGGTTACTAATGTTTATAATAGTTGAGATTACAACTTACTATTGCTCAATCGATTCTCGGTTAGGAATATTGATGTTTCGCGAAAATTCCGTTCTGATCTAGTCATCCTATTAGTGCGACATGAATAGCTCATATGCAAGTTTCCAGCTCGTGTTTTGTTTGAAACTGTTTCCCATTCATTGTCGGCGGTTTAGCGGCAAAAAATGATTGGCGTGTCAACTGATTATGCAAATTCGATATTGGATTAATCGAGACTGCCTGTTGCACATGATGTCAGTGCGAGCGTTCGCAGTGGCTCGAAGCATTGCACAATTGATGGATACACAGTTCCACATAAGGATGAATCATGTGAATGACCTTTGATTGGTTCCATGCGGTTGCAGAAGCGGAGATCAAAATTTAATAAGTGTCGGAATTGTTCTATAGCGTCGAATATCTCATGATTTGATGACTAAGTTCTGTCATGTTGATCAATTTTGAACGTAGTTAATTCAAGAAATGTAAGCTTCAAAAATATTTCAATGTGTCAATCCATAGTATTATAATTGATAAATAATTTATTAAAACTTGCTTAGTATAAATGTACAATTGGAATGAGTAAAACATTCAGCCCTTAATTTTTCAATTTCTTGATCACTTTGACCACGCAGCAGTTGTCCGGATTCAAACAGCAATTCTTCCAGTTGAGGCAGCATTCCTCCCATGTCAGCGCTTTTTTCAAACTGAAACGGATACTATTGAAAGATATTTTGTAATTAAATTTCAATCACTTACCATTTTTTGGACTCCTCCAAACTTTCATTGCTGGCGTTTTCCTTGCATTCATTTTCTTCATTGACATCTTGATACTCTTTTTGTTCCTTGTACTGTTGAAGTGTCATGATTTCCTTCATGGTGTTGAGGTCTTTCGCTGAGTCGCCGGTTTGAACTTTCATCTGCAAACAGGAAAAAATACGAATTCGAATGTTGGTCTTGAAGAAATGGAATGGTACAAAATAATGCAAGGCCATGTGAATAGTATCAAACGCTTTTGCATCTGTGGCGAATTTATATAAGGCAACGAAAAGCTGCCGCTGTCAATTGGTGGGTGGTGCCAAAGAAACCGGTTGGCATCGTCGGTACATTCGTTGTGATTCATTTCTAGAAGAAGGAAAAAAAAGACGAAATGCCTGAGTTGGACAAAAATGATCAAACTTTGTCCAACAACGTCATATGGCCACGCTTTCACTTATCTCGTGTCGAGAATCCGATATCTACATGGTGTTGTCGTTGAACCTGAAACTGGTGAACGTAATGAACTTGATAAAAAGAAGATCTCCGCGAGTTTAAAGACAACAATGCGATGTTTGATAAATCACATCATGAAAACTTCTAATTTTCACGGTTTGTCGTAATTGCGATTAGAAAATGCAATTAGAATTTGTTAGAAAGAAAATGAACATTTTGAACTATAATTCGTATGATTAATGTTGTTTTCAGCAGATTTTAAGCAAAAGTGTTATATTCATATTTTTTAAAAGAAATTATGAAGTCCCATCGCGAAACATGCTCAAGTCATCTGAATTGAAACTTTTTTTTGAAACATTTAGATTTCCAGTTGACATTTCCAAATTTGGATAACAAATATTTCATTAGTTTTTCGTCATCCACAAAAATGCTATTAATAGTATAAGAACTAACTTTATGAGGTTTGATACAACGAAAAACCAATGAAACGGATCCATCCCCCCCATTCGTAATTGATTCCACGTGCACCGGGATGGGGCAACTACTACTACTAATTGCTTTTATCCTGTTTTGCTGGTCATACAATCAGTTTCATATTGTCAAACGAGCGAACATAATTTTCAATTGGCTCATTTGTTAGTGTTTTTTAAGCTCACATGATGTTCTAGATTAATATGTTTTCAAGTTGTCAACATTGTCATTAATCGACAAGCTCAGAAAAAAAACCGCCAACAACCTTCAATAAATCATACACGACCTCTTACTGTGATTCATCAAAATCACAGCCTCAACCTCTGGCAGGCATCTCAAACACACACACACAAGCAGCGGTAGGAGGGCCGAGTACATCGGGTTTGAAAGAAGATCCCAACTCATTTATCTATCCCGACTAATATACACACGCGTTTTCATTTTCTCAGAGATGCCCAGTAGCATATGTGCCGTCGTTGCAAGCAAACAGCTGTGATGGGTACACATACTGAAAACTTGAGCAATTCATTTTCATTGTTCCGGAGGAGACATCTCCGGAAGCGTGGGACGGCCAGGGAGGAGAAGATTACGGTCAAATTTACCTACTAAATCCCCAATATTTCCAAGGCTTTCAAAATCTATTTTTTTCTATCAGTTTTTTAACGATATTCTTTTTGCAACATTTTCATTTCGAAAAAGCTCCACATCAATCATTCGTCGATATTGCACCTATCAGCTCACCTTCTCATTTATCACATTGAACAAATTGTTGTTGCATTTCAGACATGCGATGGAATTTCTTACTCATGCATATTATTCCTAATGTTATCGCTTTATTTGGACATATCGAAGATCCTTCAAGGACAGGTATCGAACCAGTGAATATGAATCACGTTGACTCATCGATTTCCCATTCAGAGCTTGACATGTTTGATTGGACTGCTGGAATTCGAGTGGCGTATTGCGTTGACTCACCGCTGCCTGATTTGATCTCGCCGTTTCGTAGAACAATGGCAAAAGTTGTTACCAAGTACTGCCAAAACGCCACCGCTTGCAATTTAAAGACACCGTTTGTGAAACGATAAAGGCCGCTGGAAATTCAATGAACAATTTGCAGTCTTGTGTTTGGTCCAGAGCAAGTTGTCATTCTCGAAGGCTTTCCAAGAAGGGAAGCCCTAACAATTCATATCAAATTTTTTGTTCTTTTACCACACGCATCAAATCCACAATTACGGCAACAAAGACCCCTACTTCCAAGACAAGTCCTGTCAGGTAAATCGTTTTTTTTTTCCTGAAACATTCTTATTCACTGAATACAGATATTTTGAAGAAGCATCATCAGGAAATAGCCAATCGTCTAGGATGGCATATTATCGCCTACGAAAGGTTGGATTATGTAGTTTCTGTGTTCAATTAGCATAAATAGTTCGAGAACTGAATCATCATCAAAGACCAATACGAACTGTTCGTTTACCAGAGGCTAGAAAACACTTTTGCGTTCAAATAAAATGATGATTGTTTGATGAGAATTATAATGTATTCATTTGAACATGATTAATCTCCCTTTTTTTGCAAATTTTAGCAGAAATTCAAACAGACATTTAAAAAATGGAAGAGCCGAAAAAACAATGAAAATATCAGATCAATAATTATAAATTGCAATTTTTTGAATTATTCTACCTAATCTGCAAGATCTACTCAATTCAATTTTTTTGTATATATCTCTATACAACGCCTATAAGTCTTATTGGTGATCAAACTTTTGCTAATGGATTCGATCAGTGATTCGCCGAAATTTTTGCGGAGCTCGTTATTTCAGTTATTTATTGCGTTGACGACGGGAACATCCAATAAAATTTCCCCACACTTCATTTTCAGATATCCTCGATACGACAGTATGACCGAATTCATGAACATCGCTATAATTCCGATCGTCATTGTATCGCTTCCACTTATGGTGTTTCTGGCGTATTGGGTTTCCACATTACGGTACACATCTTCTCCACCCATACTTTCAGCTGGTCATTTTCACATTCAGCCCAAATTCTGGTAGTGAGACGTGGATGGTAACCGGATCGGCGGGCGGTAAAAATGCGGCGCTTCGCCGAACGATGGAAATCATTGCTGAACAAAACGAGGAATACGAGCGTCAACAGCGATATGCTCTTACGAAAAACGTGCCGGTCACTGGTGGAAATGAAGGAATAACGGCGACCGGCGAACTGCTGCTCAATGTTGCGAGGTAGACGTCCGACAAAAATCACAACACAAAGATAATATCAAATAAGATAGACAACAAAAATAAAATCAAAATGCTTCGAATCTCTAGAAATAATTATTATCGATTTCAGCTCCGATGAAGAGGACGAAGAGGATGTAATGGATGATCCGTAATAAAATATTCTATCTTTTTCTTTACTAGAAATCAACATATAGCTCATTTCATCTTTCTTACTAATAGTTTGGCTTAAAATTTCAAATCAATGAAATGAATTCGTTATATCTCGTTTTGCAGACTCTCAATGGCTTCGTCGCAACCCCCAATGTCATGCTCTTCCGCGCAGTCTCCTCAAATATTCATTCAACCAGATAGCTCTGGTTCATCATCAGCTCCTCGAGCTTCAATCGCGTCAATATACGGGAAAGAGCTTCTCCACGTGAAACCAAGGTACACTCTTTGGAAATTACGAGAACAAAAAAATCGTCAAACGGATGCACTTGCCTCTCTTTTTCTACAAATACTAACAAGATAAATCATAGGCGACAAGCCGCTTGTTTTATGAACGCCCATCAACGAGAAAAATAACGCAAACTACAAAGACGATGAGTGAAAAGTTTAGATTACACAAAAGCTCGCTCGGTCGCCGGCGAATGAATGAATTCGATCCTCTTACAGACACTCGCGTCGGCCGTCCTCTGTCGAAGAGATCAAAAAGAATCGCAGGCTGCGTGGCCATCGAAAATCCGAATCGAAACAGTGGAAGTCGGGAAGTCTTATGCTGGCCGGCTTTCGACGCACATAACCAGAATAATAATAGAAGTGTTGGGAATTAATCGCATTTGGAATACTGGTATATTTTGTATAAGAGCTTTTCAAAGACGCATTGTTATTTGGGTGTACTATGTATTTTTTTGTACATTTGGCTTATAATTTCATAGGCGTAGGGAATTAATAATATCAGTGGAGAATTCTTTCCTGTGATTATTCCGTTTTTTTTTGGAATAAATTGCTTTCGGCAATTCATCTAACGATGTTCCTTCCAATTCTACAATTGAAAAACGGAATCAAAAAGAAGAAAGATCAGTTATTTTATTATCTATTTTATACATTCATATAAATCATAATTGGTGATTCATTATTATTATTATTATTATTACAATCCTTATTAGTTCTTTTTATAGCACGAAGCAACAAGAATGTTGATTTCTTCGCAGGTTGCTCCTGGAACATACATTTTTGCAAATGCGCAGTTGCTCTGAACCCATCCGAGAACATCCTTCACTCCATAGGTCTTTGAATAGTGTTCGATCTCAAGACGGGAGAATTTTATACTTCGATATCACTAGATCGCGATACCTGCTTGCAATGCTGTGGCGAAAGGATCAAAGGTCTTCCCTTGGAATCGCGTTGAACATCTGATACCGTTGCTGGAGTTGTGGCAGCAAGAATCTTTTTCGTGAGAACCTAAAGCAGGATATGATCAACAATATGAAGGTTGAATACCTTTCTGGCCATTGGCATCTCAATGGTCTCGGCGGATATCATTGCCTCCGATTTTCTGGCTGCCTTCTCCTCTTCCGCCTTCCATGGATACTTCGAGGTTAGGAACTTCTAATCCTCTCCATTATAAACTATTAAAAAACAATATAAATAGTACCTTTTTCTTTACAATTTGGATCTCTTCGTCATCGGCAACCTCGACGCACTTGTACTTCTTTGTCTTCAATGGGTTCGACGATTTGTAAGCTTCAGCGATAAAGACAAAAGCGAGAAGAAGGATAAGGTACTTCATGCCGCCAAGTTGAGCCAAAATGAATATTACCTGGTGGCGGCGCTTCAACGGCAACTTCTGTTATGGGTGGAGTCTAAATCGCGCTCGGATATCTCCCGACGCCAGCATTGACCTACATTTATAAGCTAGTGGATGAAGCGAGTCGTTTCTTTTGTTATAAACGTGTTGCAACTGGATATTCGGGATCAATTGTGGAAAACGAGAGAAAGACATCTCCCTTATCATTTGATGTTTTTGCGGCGTTAAGCATCTTTTTTAGCATCGCGACGGGAGGGCGATATTCGATTCGCTGATTGAGCGACGATGCGAGAATGGAAGGATAGTCGAGATGAAAGTTTCGGAATTTGCCGCGTTTTCGATAGCAATGTGTTTTCTGATTATTTGAATGAAATTTTGAAAGACACGCGAAACCTGTTATAAATGTCATCATTTTTTGCGGGTATGCTGAAAATTTGCTGAAACCAAAAATCTGATTTTTTAAAAAGATTTTTAGAAAGCAAAAGATTTGTAATTTTAATTGTGTAACAAAATACAAGCGTTACCCAATACGATTACGATTTTAAATGATTGTAACTTCTTTGTATCCAATTGCAAAATGAAGTTCAAAAAATCCTAATTGCAAACTATTTTCATAAAATTCTTTGTGAAAATACGATTTCAATTATATCATAAATACCAACGAAAATTCTATTTTCAAAATTTCTTTACTGGCAATTTTGGTATTCAAACTTTCTTTCATCGAAATTTAACAATATTCAATCTCTAGCTAGACACGTTATTCATTGAATAAATTCCACAATGGATTATCTACCATATTTTATTTGCGTTCACATCATTTTTTCTGTTTGCACATCGCACATAATCCATATCATGTTTTGAGTCATAACTAAGCGACGCGAGCTCAATTGGCTGCAATTGCTTTTCGCATATTATTCCTAATTTGGTCTAAATAAGCTGATATTTTTCAAAACCGCCCCCATTTCTTGAATACTATACCATTTTTTTTCAACATGTCTTATCCTAATGTTTTATTTCACAAGTTGATCTTGCAAAGTTGCGAGGAATTCGCGGAGCACACTGCTCTGGTAGGGAAAAGCAGAACAACACCAGGTTTGATAAACGTCGAAGTTTCAGGTGCAAGATGAGCAAGTTATTAAATTTGGGGATATTCCCAAATTGGTTTCGAGAATGATATCCAAACTTCTAACATTAGAGATCGCGTCGGGTGATGTAGTATTGGTGTGCTTTCCCAATTCTCCATGGTATCCTATATTGTTCCTGGCTTGTGCTCAAATCGGAGCAATCATGTCAGGAATTAGCCCGACTTCAACTAATGGTGCGATATATTTTACTTTAAAATTCTTGTGTATGTGCCATTTTCAGACGAGTTTTCTTACTACTTAAAAAATTGCTGCGCAAAGGTTGTTTTTATAAGCGAAGGAAGCGAAAAAAAAGATGATTGGACATCGGAAGACGTGCAAATCTTCTCAGATATATGAAATTGTTTTTGAATGTTTCCAGATAATAATTGAAACGTTGCCTGAAAAACTGAACGAGTTTGATTGGGGAGAACTTCGAGTTCATCTTGACGATCCGCAATCAATTGATTCCGTTATTCTTGCTCCATTCTCTAGCGGAACTACAGGTCTTCCAAAATGTTGCCTTTTGACTCATCGCAACTTCTTAGCATCAACATATGCGTTAAAAAAGTATTACTTTGGTGATATCACATCGCGGAATAATAAACTTCAGAGCTTTGTTCGACGATCTTCTTCAAAGCAGTACCAAAAAGACACTAGCATTTCTTCCGTTTTATCACGCTTCTGGATTTTGGGCTCTATTGTATTGCCTATTGGAAGGTTGCACAACCTATATTATGTCCGACTTTCATCCGATGATTATGATGGATATAATTGAGAAATACAAGGTAAGCCTTCAAAAAATTGAATAAGCACAAATATTCTTAGATTGATACTATAAATATTGTCCCATCAATTGCTAACATTCTAATTAAAATCGGAAACTTTTATGGAAGATGTCCTAGTTTACGGTAGGTGACACTGAACAATGCGAATGAATTGACGATCATAGAACCATTTTATGCGGCGCTTCACATCTAAGCAAAGAGAGATGCAAGAAGCTGCTTTCAATGTTCCCGCAAATCACCAATTTCCTTCAAGGTATTCTACGCATTCATTGCAGAGAATCATCAATTTTTTAAAGGTTATGGAATGACCGAATTAGTTGTTCTCAGCCATATCACTCCATTCAATGACAATTTCGAACATCTCGGTTCATGCGGCAAACTACTTCCCGGATTCGAAGCCAAACTATTATATTCAACAAACAGTTTTGATAGCGGCGAACTCCTTCTGAAGTCTGATGCAATAATGAAACAATACAAACATGGGTTGAAGAATGTTGACGATGATGGTTGGCTGCATACAGGAGATATTGTGAAAATTGACAAAGGCTTTTATTATGTGGTTGACAGAAAGAAAGACTTGATTAAAGTCAATGGATTTCAAGTCTCACCAACAGAAATAGTACTATTATGGTCTTCAAAAATACCATAATTTTTGTTTTCTTAGGAGAATGCTATTCTCATGTCGGAGAGAGTTGCAGATGTGGCTGTTGTTGGCATAGAAGATGAGCTATGTGGACAATTACCAAAAGCATATATCGTTCTTGAGGAAGGCACGGATGAGCTCCTGTTTTACAAACATATTGAGCATTTACTAAGAGGTATTATTTGAATTAACTACTGCCAGAAAATACCTAGAAAATTTCAAGAAAAATTATCATCAATTAAACAGCTTCGCGGCGGAATATCGATCGTCAATGAATTGCCAAAATCAGCAAGTGGCAAAGTTCAGAAGCACAAATTGGTTTATTATTAATGAACGAAATTCAATTAATAAACACAGATATCAGTCGAAATACAGTTGAAAAAAAATTGACAGATTTTTGCAGGTTAAACCCATAATGAATAATATCAGAAAATAATACCGTCTGATGATTTGATGGATGACATCTGTTAGTTAATTCTTTAATTTTTTTTCTGTACTGGCATAAATGTAAATGAATTAAGTTCTGACTTTCTCGGAAAGTATATATAACATGGATCTTAGTTTTTCTTACTAGTACTAGCACCTTCATTTATTCGAGTAGTGCGATTACGTTCGTTCTGAAAACAACCTAATCATTGGTCAACCTATTGAGCAGCAAACCTTCTGAAGTGACGCTTGAAGTTGGGTTAATCGTCGAGTTTGCCTAACTGACTGGATCGTCACACCGCTTCCACTCGGTGGCGACAATATTTTATTTCGCATTTTTGTTGTCGGCATTGTATCAAGTTTTATGCGTATCATTGGCCTTTTCGCCTTAAAACAAAACGAAAAAATCGTAAACTATCAAATATTCTTACTCTTCGCTTTGGTGTTGTTGCTTTTGAAGTAGAGGGCGATGAAGGCTGCGCCGGCGATTCGCCAGCATCGACCGTTGTCGCCGTAACTGCCAGAGCTGCTGAAGCAAGTGACGTTTTTGGAGAAGGTGGTGGAGTGGTTGGTGCGGAGTTAACCGGTGTAGTTGGTGGCGCAGGTGGCATTAGTGAATTCTCGATAGTCGATTTATGCAAACTAGGGAAGGCATTCCTCTTTCTTGGTACTGTTTTCCTTGGCCGACCCGGAGCAACTCGTCGAGCTGTTTCTTGTGAAATCGCTTTTGGTTGTTCTTCCGACGCATCACCTTCCATCTCATTAATTGCGGTGGAAATATCGCGTGCTTTACTCGGTGTCTCAAACGGAGCCGCCTTTAATTTGTCATCAGCTTCTCGATTTTCTGCATTGAGCTTCCTTCTAATTGTTTGCATCTCCTCCTCATCTGGACTATCATCAACTTCAATGATTTCCGGCTCGTCTGAAGATTCTTGATCTCTCGGATCAGTGTCAAGTTGTTCCATAATTTGCGATTTGTTACGAACACGCTCAGGTTCAGGAGATGATGAAACATCTCGAGCAAAATTGTTTGAGTAATCGTAACTGGTGAGCAAACGACCCGGATCGATGTCATTCTTTCGATATCCTCGAGGATAAATGTTTCGCAACGGCTGATTATCCAAACTCAAATATCTTGAACCAGTAGGTGATTTCTGAAAAAAAAAATCGGATGATGAAAATATCCAAGACTTTGAGAAAATATACAATTGGCATTGGAAGTGTATAATTGTTCTTCGAAAGCTTCGCGTGAACATTTCGTACTTCATATGGTTGAACGTAATGTTGTCTCTCATATATAGTGCTTCGTTCTGTAAGACAACATCACTATTTATTTGCACATGTTCGATATGAGCAGCTCACCTCGCAAAACATCAACTATATCGCGTTCGTGCATGCCTTGTAGTATCATTCGCGCAATTTCCGTTTTTGTGTTCTCCGGTAGTGGAATACATCGCACATTCTGCTCATGACCCAAATGCCGCAAACAGCCACGAAGTGCAACTTTTCTGAAATTATAAAAAATTTGTTTGATAGTGGCAATTCGTTTTTATTTCATTTTTCTTGGTAGAATTTTAGTTTTCTTAGTGAAATATACAAAATATGCTGCGCTTATTTTTATATAAACATTTTTTCATGAATGTTTCCTTTTTGCAGAAATATGAGTCATCAAATTTGCATTGTTTTTCCTATTCATTTATGCAGAATAAATATAATAAAAATAGAGAAAATTATAATGAAAAAAAAATTAAAAAAAAAAAAACAAATTTCCTTTTCTGAAAATTACTTCAGTTTTCTTTGCATTGGCTTTTAGCAAATTTTTCTTCTTTAAAAACTAATTTTTTCCTAACTATTCATTTCTCTGGGTGCACGTTTTTTAATGACTGATTTATTACTCGAATTGCCGCCTTGGGTCTTCTATGGAACAAACACTTTAAAGCAATTATTGTTTCGAAATAAAAACAATTACAAACCCGTCCGCCGTTTCCCGAAGATGGAAAAAGGCGGTGCAAGTCCGTCCCAGTTTTTTGCTTGCTCGCTGTCTTAAATTCCGATTGTCCTTTCCCTGCTGAGTTGGTCCAGAATGATGACAATTGAAATATCTTTAATAAATGTCTGAACTGAAAAATTGATTCAAAAATTAATATACATCGATTTTCCAAATGTGTTCTGTTTTCCAGAGCTTCGTCTGAATTTTGACACCGTCAAAAGTTCCATCTCCTCGCGCCATTTCTAAAATGTTAAGCTTAATTCTTATATTGAACATGTGTTATTACTCGAAACTGCGCCATATCCGAAAATTCGATAAAATCGAATAGCAGATTTTCAACAGAATGATGGTATCGACAATGCTCAATTATTGTGGGCAAACAATCACATTTGATATTGCAATTCATAATGGGACACAATAATTGAGCACGTAGACCATGCGGCGCTTTGAGCTGAACCAATGGCTCCGAATGAAGCGAAACATGTTTTGCGAACACGGTTTTCGTGCGAAAACAAACATTGCACTTGCTGCAGATCATCTGAATAAAGAAAATTGAAAATCGTAGATGAGAAAATTGGCATTACCGCATGTGATTGAAATCCAACGCTAGCTGCATCCCCCGTAGTTCGCCGTAAATAATATGTCGAGGGAAGCTTAAACCAACGTTTATGAATTTCAAAATATTGAACGATTACTTACTGTTTCTGTTGGTAGCTCACCCTGTCTTGCAGCAATACTTTCGCGAATTTTATTTAAATCCGCATCAGTTCCGTTGGCGCCATCTAAACCGTCACCACTTTCTCCGGTTGTTTTCTCATTTTTTTCCGCCGGGGTTTCCGCATCTTTTTCCATTGAATTTTCTCGATGTCCTTCGTCACCTTCGCTAGAAGATTTGGTGGGTTCTTTCAATGATTCCTTAGCAAATTCCTCATCTTCCTCATCGTCTTCTTCGTCATGCTCTTGATCATTTAAAATATCATTCGTAGAATCTCTCGACATTTGTAGTGAAGACTTGCATCTGAATAAAACAGGAAAGTCATTTATAATAGCTTCGCGAGCTAACTAATATATTTATTGAAGTGGAATTACTTACTCTATTATTCCTCTATCAGAATCAACGTCAGATTCTTCTCCCAATGGTTTTGAATTACGCGAAGAACTTGGAAAATTTCGTTCCCAAGGTAGCGATCTCATTTTTGAGCATTCGCGATAACGCGGCTCTGTTGTTGGATCGATACCCTCCTCGCGCTAAATACATATATTAAAATCCAATGCATACAATTTAAAGCTTGAATACCGAAAGCTTCAAAAACTCCTGAATATCATATTTAAGAGGCACGTTTTTTGTAACTTTTTGCCCTTTTCGCGCCTGTAATATTAATTAATAAACAAAAAATGTTTTTTTTAACCAACTGTTATCAATGGCGGCGAATAAACCCTCATACCAGGGTCCCGAGCTTCAAATATACTCTGGGTGACCACACGTTGCGCTGGATCAATAGCATTAATATCTGAAAATAATTAGAGAATCAATCTATACTATTCAGAAACGCAACCTGCAACAAGATCAAAAATATTTGATTCAATGAGCCGATCATCAATTTCTTCGTCAACCATTGCATGAGGGTGATCTAATGCAAGATGTGATAGCTCGGCGTACTGAAAAAAAATTGGTGATCTCATCTCATAATAATTATAAGCAAGCTTACTCCATATGTGTATTCAGGGCTAGCAACCTCAATCTCATCCAAATCATGTGATTCGATATATTCGCGATGAGCCATACCTGCAGAAAACGAGCATAATGTTATTAATCGGGTTGGTTGAAATTATCTGGAAAACACGAGCAAAACGATTTAAACGAAGGAACATGTGCGGAAAACGCGCAAGTCCAAAAAAATTGACATTGAAGAGAGGAAATTTAAATGTTGTCCGTGGAGCGCATATTCCTCACTCGTTTTTAATATAAACGCGCGTTATTAAATATGTCTTAGAAATTAACTCATTTTTTGATTCTTTCGCTTTCTGCTGTTCAGTTTTGTATCTGAGTGTGTAAATGATGTGAAACCAAATTTGGCAAGTTTTTCTTGCATTTTTTTTTGTTATTTTTTGCGGCTTCAAGCGCGATGTGTAGTCTAAGCTTCTTTTCTAAGAAAAAAAAAACAACTAAAGTTTTACTCTATTTTCTATCATCAACAAAACAAAAGCTTTCAAAAAAATGCGCATTTAATCACTATGCGTTTTTTTTGCAGCAAAAATCCAATATTGAGATTTTATTTGGCAAAAGTCATAAAAAATTTAATTAATGTGGAAAATCTTACCAAACGTTTCAATTGCATTTGATTGTTTATCTTGCCCCATTTTGGGCACCCTTAAAAAAGTTGAATAATTAAAATCACATAAAATCCATTATACGAAACGCAAAGCAGTGTTTATTTGAGGTCTTGCTGACGAAGTTGAAATTTGTTTGCATTGTACTGTTTGATATTTGCAAAAAAAAATTGAGCCGCTTCACTCATTCGCTTCTGTGTAGTTTCTACATTTTCTTTTGCGATGTCGTCATATTCACGGATATTCAACCAATTTTGAGTCACTTCCTGAAATTTCTCACCGTTTTCTCAAAACATGCCGACACGAATAAATATCGAGCAATTGACCTCATCGAATTTGGCGTTTTTTTTTTTGTGAGCACTCAAAATTAGCTTTTTAGAAATAGTATGTTTTAAGCGGAGGTTCTTTTATAATGATATGCATTTTCTTGGGGGTTAACAATTGGATCTCAAGGTTTGGCATAGTGTCCATTTATTTTTCAATGACATCTTCGCAATTTCCGGTCTGCATTTATCCGATTCCTACATTTGAATATCGCAATTTGTTAGCTAACGTTGTTTTGACCCAATTCACAAATTTCAAGGTTATTTTATGGTCGGTGGAAATCCATTCTTTGTCTTCGTTTGTACGAAAATTTTGCGATGAAAACCAAACATCGTTTTTTTTTCGCCATTTTCGTCCCGACGGCGTCACCAGAACCACGTGTTTCTATTGTCTCCGCGCGCCATCCCCTAAAATCAATTATTTTTGCGCGCGTGAAGCAAAATCATGACTTTTTTTCCACCTTCTAAGTTTCAAGTAGCTTTCGCTATCTAATGTGTCCACGTTTTGTTTTTTTTTGTTTCCTCTTGGGGAATTTTTTTTTGGGCTCATAGCGGGAAATAAATTTTTCAACCTTCCTTCTGTGTAATTTTTTTGTGTTATGGATGACATTGTTTAATGAAAATATTAATCTTATAAATGGAGGGAATAAATGATTCAATATTCGTGCCTGTGCCGCAATGCACTCATATTGAATTAGATTCATTCACGGGTACAAACTTACTACTTGCAAAACTCAATTTTGCGAGTACATTTTTTTCGTCTTCTACTTTTTCTTTTTTTTTTCTTGTTGAACGCACGTCAATCACGTTTTTTTTTCTCCATTCAATTTCCGTGAAGTGCAATTGAAAACAATTATGGTCTATTCAAGTTCGAGATCAACTATGAATAGTTTAAAGAGAAATATTCATAACGTGAGTTACAGAGTTTCTTCGAAATAATGCAATGCGTTTCAGAAAGTGAGTTTTCGCTTCGTTTCTAGTTGTTGTAAGCTTCCTTCAACCAACAATTAACTATCCGCCTTTTTTTGAAAATGTTCTAAATGCATGTGTTTCGTTGAAACGTGAACACTGGTTTTATCTTATCACCGTAATCTTGCCAGACATACGTATAATTTATCGGTGATATAATTCAAGTACAAATTCAAGGATGTAGTTGCGAATTGGAGCGCGCCAATTGTTTACCAACAAGTTTTAGATTTCAAAGAACGCACGAATAAGTGGAAACTTCTTTTTGTAAATATATAGATGTTCATATATCAATAACCACGCAATGCACAACGTCATAAAATCAAAAACGCGGCACGAGTTTCGAACTTTAACTGCATTCAACATTTCCGCAACGTCAAATTCGCGATCAATGATATTCATGACAAAACGCGGTGCACAAGTTCCGAGAACGATTTTTAATCTTCAACATTTTTTCCTCTGTCTGGAAACAACCCTTTTTTCATATCATTTCTCTCACGGCTGTTCATGTCCTAAACAATTTTCCTGGAACACCATGGACCAAATTTGGCAACCAAAGAGGAATATAAGAGGAATGGTGCGATGACAGTATTCAATCATTTCAAAGCATGTATTCGGAGGCGAGTTAGAAAAAGAGGTTTACGGTAGTGGGTTCGGTAGATTTTTATCTCAAATTTCAAATGTTAAATAGTCGGCTGTCGAATTTGCTGATGGCTAACCAGAGTTTTTACGAAAACCTTATTTGCCAAACCACGTTTGCCAAATCGCCTATATCTCCGATACAATCGAGTTTTACACACGCATTTTGCATAATCGTCGCGCCATCGCGAAAATGATGGGAACGTTTAAATAATTTGAAAAAAAAAAATCGTTTTTCAAGGTCACCTAACAACTCGATTCGCATCGACAATAAAAGTCAATGATTTGGTTATTATCGGTTTTGCGAAGGTTCATGCCGACCCGAAAAACGGCACTCATACATTTGTTATTAACCATTAAATGACCACTGCATTGCAGTGAGGTTATCAGAACGAGTTGCATTGTTTCATGCATATCGTCATATAATTTGAGGCAATCTTTGAGTGCATTTGTCTTTCATTGCTCCTCCTCTTCTCTCTTCCCAGCAAATTTGTATTGATTTGAAATTTACATATCGTTGAATACATTTGATACAATTGTATGGTAAACAGTGCATACCATCAATACGGTACCATAAACGGCATTTCTAACCAAACATTTCGCCGAATAATTGCCTTATCAAATAGCTAATCTTTGCCTTGATTGATTTCCACAGCATGTTGTCGCCGTAGTTTCTCTCTCAAGTAGCCATTGATTTTTTTGCCCACCCCATCGTGCTGGTTTCTATTTCACACCGCCTGCTGATCGATGAGCATCTCTTGCACTATATATTTAATTCGTCGTTGTGGTTTTATCCATTGTTCTGGGTTTTGAATAATAACAAAACAATGTTAAATTGTTCAGCAAGAAGATGTCGTCGCCAAAAGATCAGCATCATGAGCGAATGAGCCATTTGACGTCGTCGAAATCGACAACAATCCACAGCAGCGATGCCGAGTTTTTGCCGAAAAATGTGAGCTTTTTTTTATTGGTGCCGCGGACAATTAACTATTGGCGTTGTGTTTGCTCGCTTAGCCAAAAACAAATTGCACTTTGAAACGTCTGGGGAGAATGCAAATTTGAAAGAATTTGGTTTTTGCAAATGCATACATGTTCTCACATTTTGCGTTACCGATATCGAATTACATATCCAATTTTTTATGCAAGTAACACGATCAAAGAATAATAAGAAATCGACATTTTTCTCAATGGCTCTATGCAAACAAAAAATTATAAAAAAAAATATATATAAAAAAAAAAAATGACGAGACAAAAATCCACGCCTTTGAAATCTGAAATCTTCCAGCCGGACGACAAGGAATCATTCGCAAGACTTCTTTGGCTTAATCAATGCTACGAAGCGATGCCTTCAAGCTCAAAAATGGTGGTTTTCGACCAAGGCCTTCTCATGCACAAGGCTTTCAACGGGCTTCTTGCACAAAGTTTCAAAAGTTTTTGAAGACTAATCATTTGAAAATGAATGCCTTCAGGTACTCGCCATGTTCTGCTCTCTGATCCATCGAATCACGGATCTCTTGATGGTATATTGAGTGTCACCGATTTCATCAAAGTGATGCTCAAGATTTATAGGTATGAGAAATAGTCGCCTGTCATGTGAGAGTCGCGTCATATTTCAGAGAGAAAACGAGCGCTGCTGAAATGCAAGAGGGCGTTGGGCACCCGGAGGGCTTGAATGTTTCTCAAATTGCCAACGAGGAGATCGGAAACATGACAATTCAACAATATCGTGAGATATTGAAAAAAGAGGGCAACTTGAGATCGCTGATTTCGGTTGATGCAAGCGCCAGGCAATGATAATTAAGCAACCAGAAAACTAATTAAAGTTTTTATTTCAGTTTGCTTGAAGCGGCTTGCATGCTTGCTGAGCACCGCGTGCACAGACTCCCAGTCATTGATCCAGAAGATGGATCAGCTCTCTTTATTCTCACACACAAACGTATCCTCAAATTCTTGTGGCTTTTCGTGAGTCACCTTCACATTATAAAAAAAAGTATTATGAATCTAGGGAAAACACTTGGCTCCATTGGAGTGCCTACACAAAACTCCGAAAGAGCTTGGAATTGGAACGTGGAGCGGCATTCGGGTTGTTTTTCCTGATACTCAATTGGTCGACTGCCTTGATATTCTGCTCAATAAGGGTGTGTCGGGATTGCCGGTGGTTGAGCGAGACACTTTCAAAGTTGTCGATATGTACTCGAGATTTGATGCGGTTGGAATTGCATTGGAGAACCGATTGGACATAACCGTTCAGGAAGCACTTGCTTTCAAGAATCAAGCTGGGCCAATGAAGGTTGATTGCTTTTCGCTTATTTTAATATTATTGTAAACGTGTTGTAGAGCGATGAGCGTGTGGTTTCCGTTCGTGACAATAAAAGCTTCTGGAAGGCGGTCAACGTCCTCGTGGATCACAATGTTCATCGACTATGCGCTGTCAACGAAAAGGGCGGAATTGAGGTAATCACTGTAGATAAGAGAGAATCTTATCATGAATTAAGATTGTATCGTACTTTCAAAGCAACTGGTTTTCTGGCGGTTTTACTGCAGTTAATTTTTTTGCAGGGCGTCATTTCACTTTCCGACGTTATCAACTTTCTAGTTGTTGAACCTGGCAAACACTTGCGCCACAAACCAGCGCCAAAGAAACAATGGCTGAAACCGCATTCTGGCGATCTCAATGATAAGGAGCTTCGCGAGATTCTTCTAAGCAATATGGCGAGCATTGAAATCGAAGGTGCTTCGACTTCGGCGGCGCACAGCCCAACTCAATCGCACAGCCATAACTGAATCAATAATATCTTTATATTTAACACATTCTCATCTAGGTGTTATGAATTTTTGGTGATGGACATTCCAAATGTCGTTATTCTAGAAATATTGGTAACAATCTCTTAAATTTCAATCATTTTATTCGATTTGCTCGACTGTGAAAAACGATGCTAATTTTGTTGATAACGATTATTTCATAAACGTGCTTTTTTGAATAAATCAATGAAAATGAACTATGAAATTATTTGTTGTGAGGAGTCGATTTCCATTTGAGATATTTGTCAGTTTCCTGATCGGCTTGAACCAAGTTGAAGCGCCATTTGAAGAACTGAAGGATTCTGCCTGGAGCAAACTGATTTTCGCTTAAACATGATGCCTCAAGAAACTCATTTAGTCATAAATCAACCTGAACGTGGAAGCATCAACATCTTTTAAGAAGACTCGCCCTTGCATCCAACTTTTCTTTCCTTCTTCTACTATATTGACAATTCTTCTATTAACATCATAGAAGAGCAAAAAGTGAAGGCCGTAGAGTACAGAAGGAGCATCCACCATATGACAACGAAATGTAAGGACTGATGGAGAATTGAAATAATTGGTTGCAGGTGGACCATCTTCCAATATCTTAAAAATTGACTAGTCATTTTGAGGAATTTTCAGGCAATTAACCTGACTGCTATAATTGGCGAAATCAGTTTCACCAAACTGTTGCCGAATGAAAGCCTTTGTTTCCTCATTGGCGCATTCGAAAACAAACATTGGACGACAAAATACATCAATCCATACTCCTGGACGAATATCCCACCAACGATAATTTCTCTTCGGCATATCTAAACAGGTAGGTTCTCTAACTGGTTTAAAGTTAATGGCATTCAAAATAACGAATTGTCATACTACTTATATTTTTCCTGGAAAAACTTCACTAAAATCTTGTTTGACTCGATAATTAAGATATGACAGTTCTATCTGCCATTTTCTCTACTGCGAATATTTTTGGAGTATTTGTGTGTGTCAAATGGTACAATATTGTGTTTAATATGAAAGAAAATTCACCCTTCCCATCCCCCTTGATTCCTACATGTTCCTGTTTTTCATTAAGCTTTTGTCGCCCTGATTTTCCCCCGCAAGATAATATCTTTTTTCACCTGGCTGAACAGGGAACGGAAGTTGAATTCGCTTAAGGAAAAGTTGCCCCTCAAATTCTCGCGTTTCCTCGATCAGCGCTACCGTATGATCATTGCAATAAACAAAAAGCCTAGAAGAGATGAATTGAAATTTGGAATAACTCAAAGATGACTCGACTTGAAAATTCGCTTCATTCGACATCCGTGAAAGTCATTCTTATGGTCGAGCCAACAGCAGCGGTACACTAGCATAGAAGGACGATTAATAAATTCTCTCTAGATTGAAATTCAATTTTCCGACTGAATGCAAAATATTTACATGATCTGGAAGTTTTGGCGCCGTTTTTGGTGCTCCCCGTCTTTTAACAAGCCAAGGATCTTCGGGAAGTTCTTCATTGTCGTTTACCTTGATTCCATGCTCTTCCAGATAATTCTAAAATGAATCGAGTCGACCAAGAATCGAATATTTAATTGCTTTACTCTTGTGAATGCGTCGCACGACGTAATTCGGTAAATTGTTTGGAAAAGGTTGACATCTTGTCCGACATTCAAATCGCTCCAGTGGATATATGGTTTTCCGATGCGATTGGGAGCGGGCACTCGTTGGCGTCGGAAAATTCGGCCCTTAACTTATCCAATATTTAAAATGATCAAGATTCAAAATGAGCATATTTTTCTCATATATACAATAATACAACATAATTGTGCATAAATTTGTCGATCATATTAAGAAAAATTACATGAGTGTATCCAGTATTATCCACAAATGGCTCATGGAGAGTTATGGTGTCATCATTCAAATGATAGCGTATTTTGAATATTCTGGAAGAATGCATTAACAGAGTTTTGAAATATATTCACCTGATTCTATGAATTTCTTCGTCTAGGCCGTCTTCTTCAGAATAAGCATCAAATGAGAGGACTGCCGAGCTTGCAGCTTCAGCTTCATGTAGTAATGGTCCAGCGCTAAATTGAGAGAATTGTGAGCTATGAAGCTAAAAGGAAACGTTACTTGCAATCATATGGAAGGCTTTTTTGTCTTGGGTAATTTGGGACTTCTTCTTCATGAATGAAGCATTCTCCGTTCTTATAGTCAAATTTCTGCCTTCGTTTTGGCTAGAATATATATTTTTTAAATTGATTATCTGAAATGTCAGTTACCTGCGGATCGCTTCCAAATGCTTCTAGAATATCTTCGGTTGGAACATCTTGAACACTGTTGAGGTTGTCGGAGTATGTCGACATCGAATCTGAGAATGAATGAAGCGATTTGTGTAGAGACTACGCATATATTTATAAACGTCGGAAATGAGCTATTGGCGAGCTGAAAGATGGAAGGCGAAAAAAATTGTTGAAGGGTGAATAATGACATCCGGATACATGTATGTAAGTATGCTGTTGGTAGAATAAATCAACCAGAATGTGGAACAATCTCGAAAATGTTTCCATATTAGGGAAATTTTGAGAAGGAAAAAGTTTGGGTGTTAATAGAATAATGAAATGGAGTCCTATAAATAATTTTGGGAAGCGATTAGAATCCGTATTTTTGAAAAGTTGTTTTTTTTCTTATGCCTGGAGCAATAATTTTTGAGCAACCAAATCTAGAAAGAAAAAACTCAAGGATTAAAAAAATTTCAGAAATCCATCAATCTTAAACATTCCATAAACTTTTTTTTTTCTTAAAAAAAAGTTTTCTTAAAAACTGTTAAAGATTAAAAAAAATTAAATTCCCCTTCTTCCCCCTCCCAATTTATTCACAATTAAATTAATTCAATTTCATGACGTTCAATGATTATTCTCAATTTGCTTTTTTCCACATTTTTATTGTAGTCTATTTTTCGTTTTGAACAGCAAACAATGATTGCAGGCAATGGCACAATATTGCATTGTTGTTTTAACCACAATGGATGGCGAATCGTTCCATATTCATGAGAAGATCGAAAAATGATTGCGATGAGGCAGAAGCATGGGAATCAGCGATATAATACGCGCAATTGTTTTCATGTTGACCCAGCTGCGCCCAAAACGGCGGCCAACTGACCATTAAGTGTATGTATATCCACCGATTTTCGATTGATGCTGATCGCTTTTTTCACTTTTACTATGTATTGACTTAATAATTTCAATCAAGATTAGAAAGCTTGAATGAGGTTACTAGGTGGATACCTCAAACTTTTCTATTTTTCAGATTCATTCTCTGTAGAAAATGGCGACGTTCCTCGCGTTTCATCATTTGGTAAGTCATTGAATCATTATTTTCAAAAAATCGTGTCTAATTGCAAATCAATGATCTATGCGAACCATTTTTGGTCTTAATACGGCTCATTGATTTACTCGTCAATCTGTAAATTTCCCGATTCAACGTATCTCACTATGCTGCTGTAGACAATAGTGAGAATACTCATAAATCTATTATCCTTAATGTTAAGCATCGTCTTCAATGACGGATTCCGGGATTTACTATATGTAGATTGCTAGCAAAACTTGTTTTATCATCTGCAAAAACTAGTAAACCAATAAAAACTCTATTTAGCTTGTCTCGCTGAAAACCGATTATGAGTCATTAATTATGGGCTATATCTATATATCAATTTGAGAATGAAATAAATTATCGTTAGTCTATTTCTTGTCTTGAAAATTAACTATAACGTGTGATTTCAGAGTCGTGTTTTGATAAACTTGCAGCTTATTCAGCCTTTGCTCTTTTAAAATTAAAACTAGTCTCGTTTTGCAGAAATCGGATAAAAATCCTAGTCCAGTTCACTTTTACTTGTTTAATGAATTCGTCAATGTTGACCCAACGATTTAAAACACCCGGTAATCCTGTATTATATAATACTAGAACGCTGAAATTGTGTCTGTGTACGTTTTTTTTTGTTGAAATTGAATTGAAAATGCATGATGTCCGTATTCTCCCCCGCATCTTATTTACAACGAAAAGCGAAAGAAAAAAAAACACATCGCAAGTCGACAAATATATCAATGAGCCATGTGATTGTATTCATTTTCAATTGACCTCTTGATGAATAAATCATAAGTACAGGCAATGAAAAAGCGGCGAGAAAGCGAAATCCGTTTTTATGTGTTGTGTTGTTCTCGACAAAAATTTTATTTGTACATAACGATGGTTTTTTTGTTCTGTTCGTGAATTGTTTTCACCTGATGAAGATGCATGATTCTAATGAACGCCGTAGTTCGCTGCTTTTCACTTATGATGGCTACCTGTTCATCGATGACGAGGAAAAAAATTCGAAATCTTCCATGCCTCCTTCGATCGTTTCGAATTTTCCAGCCCACCGCGTTTTGTTCCGATGTCATGTTACAATTCCTGCCGTCATTATTAATCTATTACTATTATTATTATGCAATATCCAATTTTAATTGAACGCTATCCTTGCATTTAAATAGTTCGACGTACAGCCCTTTTGTTCTTCGCTCCAAAAAACCTGGCGTAATCTATGTGTTCCTTGCAAATATGTGTGTTTCGGTTTCTTTTTTCTCCACTTCGATTGACCGCTGACAAGACCAACTATCGGATTATTGAATTTTGGCTCTCTTTTCCTTCATCTTTCTCCCACCTATTCTTCTAATAGAAGCTGTTTTAGTTAGTTATTCTGAAAATAGTATTGTTTTGAAATTTTCTCAATGAAATGTCTAGAATTTTTGAACAATGCAGCAGCAATTTTTTTTTCAAATAGCTCCCACAAAACTCTGTTTTGGGACAAATATTCTCTCCGTCTTCCTCTCTTCTAATTATCCATTTGTAATATCAATTCAATAATATAATAAATAAATATAGAATATATTTATATGAATTCCGAGAGAGAAATAATAATGAATTCAAAATAATATTAAGTATAATAGCCGCTCGTTAGCAACTAAGTAGTACTAGTCCAGTTAATCTGACCCCCCTTCGCAAATGAGTACGAACATCTGCGGACGATTTCAAGTCATTGCGGACACATGTCGGCAGTACGATAAATCTACTTTATATTAAAACCATACGAATATATGTGTATATAAAGAAAATTTCAAACATTTTCTAAGACATTCCAATTTTTGTTTATAATACTCATCTAGGCTAAATGTTTCTCGCACTCAATCTGTTTTGAATAAATGTACAGCTTGCAAATCCCTGCAATTAATACTCTTATAAACAATCTGAGGAGCAAAAAAAATAAACCAATACCATTCTTTAACTCATTTCCTCCAGACCAAACCTATGTGCTTAGCACATTCCACTGCTTTTTCTTCCGTTTAACTATTAATCCGATGGTGTGTCCTCGAATTTCCGTATACGGGGCTAGCAAACCCCTCGCGAGCCATCGTTCAAAATTGTGGTCGGTGTTTCATTCACCAATTGTTTTTGTGTTTTGTGCGCTTGTTCAATTCTGTTGACCATTGGGATTAAAGTCGGTGATTTTTGATTTGCGGTAGCCCCCTTTTTGATTTGCGGTAGCCCCCTAGACGCGACTAATTTTTTTTCTGCTGCTCTTTATGCATTTCCTTTATTTATCTATGTGCAAGTGTCTGGTTTTTTTTTTCTTTCTTGCAAAATGCCATCTCGATGATCATTTTTTGGCATTGTAAGATTTATTAGTGATTTCAGCGAGCTGAGGCTTAACATTTTGTTGATTGCATTTTTGTTTTGACAATTACGGCACATGCCACAGAAACCTACAGTAATATTTTGTTATTCCCAAATTCCTCATGGTGTTTTCATTTTTCAAAATTTCCTTTGTTAACTTATTCATTTAATAGGATTATTAAGGAATATTGCGGAATTCCGATTTTTGGAAAATTCCCGTTTTCACTTTGGCATTTCCCGCGCGTTCCGTTTCACAAATCAAATTCGGGTTGAACAAAGAATTTTAAAATTCATTGCCAATCCTCCCACCTTTCGGCTGTCCTCGTTGCTTTTTTTCTGAAAATTTATGGTTTTTGTAATAGGTTTTTTGCAACACGTGAAACGGGTTAAAACACCCAACAAAAAAATTGCCGAAAACCAACAAATAAAAGATGTGAAATCAACGCATAAATGGCGAATTTTTGGTGATGGCGCCTAGGCAAATTTATTTACGGCCTCAACTTGTTCAATCACAGAAACAAACACCTTCAATTTTATTGTTCCCCATTATTTTCATTTTTTGAAGAATACTCTTTTGCCTTAGTCACAATGCATTCTGACTCAGTTCATCGATATCAAACCAAATTTTGACGTTATACATTTTCGTTATAAACTGCTCAAGTTTAAAATATACTCATGAACTCAAATAAAACGGCACAATGAGTCATGTTTGTTTGCATTTTACAAGTTCTCCGATAAGCTTGTACCTTTCTTTGCCCAAAACAATTTATCTCAGGTTTGTGGGTAAATATAATGTGAAAACGCTGAAAATGGTGTCATAACTGTTTTCAAGCTCGCTTCTCTAAATTGATAGAATAGTTGTTTGTTGATATTGCATAGATGTGTCACTTTATTTCCACCATCTCCGATTTTGGCAAAAAGGTCGCACATTCCAGTGTAAAATGCAGATTAGACCTTTCAAAACGCTTGAATGGTTAAGGCGCTTCTAATTTGGGCCGACATTGTTGGAAAGCAGCCGCAAAAAAAGACCCTCCCAACAATGATGATGATTTTGACGTGGAAGCGAAAGTCCGAGAAGGCGGCGTTACCATCTAATTGGAACTCATCCCATGTTTGTTCTATTTTTTGAAACAAGGCAAATCATGGATCATCAGGGATTAATACCATTTCTCCCGCACCAAGCATTAAAAAATGAGCGTCTCGCCAATCATTCTCACTTTCCAAACTTGCATTAATGCACTTATTCGGCGGTTGGCCTAAATGATCGCAATTGAAATCGCGCCAATCTCGTCATATCATAATTCATTTGTGATTGTTGGTGTTCAAACTCATTGCCGAAATCTTTCCTGTATATCATTTTTCCTAAAACATTATTAGAATTATAATAATTGGTGAATTCTCAGCCCGGAAACTGATTCATTTTAATTGTTGTGAATTATTAGGAAACAAGTTTTCGCATGAGAACGTATTAAAATTCTGTATTTCTTATTGAAAACAAATATTTTTGGGTCAATTTTATTTATGATTGTTTTTTTTAATGATGATAGTTGGAAAATGTACAACACAAAATTCGAATTCTACAATTCTCCAACTTTCTTTCAAATTCTATCAATTCTCAACTTTGATCATTCACATTTTAAATGATACCAATTCGCGATTTCGTTTTTTTTTTTCTCATACCACAGACTTTGGGTGACACTTTGGGCGTCGTTCTTCTTTCAACATCAATGTACAAATACATACATGGTTTACAGGTTTTTCAGAATCTTCCAATTTACACCCTCCGCCGCGAGGGCGCTAGTAAAGTATTCTAATAAGCGGTCGTTCGAAATCTCACACGAATGATAAGCAATGAATTCAACACTCACTTGCGTTGGGCGACTTTTTTCATGTTTAATTCAAACTTGAACTATTATGGCGACGCATAATAATGCATCGGCATTGTTAACTTTTCACTCCCAGCATTTTCTTCAAAGGGCATTAATCATGTTCGCACAATCTAGTTATCAAAGGGCAGACCCTTTACATTAATTATTAGCTGGTAGTTCATCATATGTTGGAACAACGAGGAAGTTCACGGCAATCGACGTGATTTGAACTTTAGGCTGAAAGCTTACATTCTGAAAAATGATAGGAACACAATAGACGAACGGCTGACTGTTTCCGCACACAATTTTAATATATGACAATCAATATTCGTTATTTCTACAATACCTGTCATTCTCAATTAAAATTTCGAAAGTCTCACAAATGTTTTGCTTCCGGTTATATTCAAACAATAGTGTATCATCAATCACTCGCGGATTTCAGCATAAAGTCGAAACACCCATTTAAGGCCAACATCATAGTTTTCTCGAATTTACTACATTGAACTTTTAACACACCTTCTGGAATTTTGACATTCTCACGTCTACTGGGTGGTTCTCGGAATTTTACAGGATTGGAAGTTATTCTATGACCTATCCTGTCACTCTCAAATTTTTAGAATCGTCAAAATCACTTGAAAAGTAATAGTCTCCAAAAATTCTACTTTTAAATTGGCTGCATATTTACTTCAGTATTATTCAACATTCATGCGCTATAAAGAAAATATTCATATTCATATTGGATTCTTGAAAATTGGATACGGTAAACGTCATGTGTACCATTTTGAAGAACAATGAGACTCAAATACCTCATTTTTCTCCATATTTTATCATAAATGTTCTCAATTCTGCGAAAGCGAACGCAATGGAGTCGTTCATATCAATCATTGTCGTCATTGTTATGCATTTTTTATTCACTACTAGCAGATATCGCCAAAATGCCAAACATTTGCGCGAATCTCTTGTATACACATGCGTTTGCGCCAAGTTTTTGTGTTTTCCTTATCATATTGGCAGAGTGACCCAGGCCGTTCATTCGCATCCAATTATGTATGTGTTGCTATTTCGACTATATAGTGGAAATAGTAGTTGTAGTAATATAGGAAGGTTTCTTGCGAGTTTATTTTGGTCACCCGATAAAAAAACCAGTTCGTTTTGCAAATATTGCATAAGAATCGGTTAGGTTTTTTTCGTATATTTTAATTAAAATCGTTATGCATGTTCGGCTTGGTGTACAGTGAGTCACTAGTTGTTCCTCAATTTTCAAATGTTAACACTAGTTTTCCATTGTTTAGCTCTCATTTCGCTAACAAAACAAATATCTTGAAAACAGATATATTTGAGAAGGACCTAGTTTTTTGGCATTGCGCCTTTTTTTTCATGAAAAGAGAACATTCTTATGATGTGTCATCCATTGCCAAATTTGAGCGTTTTGTTCCGGCGCAATCACATAATAAAACCATATTGAATGTTTTCGCTGAAAAAAAAAACGTTTTTCGCTCGTTTCGCAACCATTTCTGTTTAAGAGCATATTTTGTTTTGGTTCGCGTTTTGATTCTAACCCATACCAAAAAAGGGAAGAAAGGGACACGGCAATTCGTCACGCACAATTGAAAAATTCCAATTTTTGTATTTCGATGATGAGAATTGATGGGGGTTTGTCTCAAGTTTTGAATTTGAATCTTTTTTTGGCTGTTTAAAATAAAAATTATAAGTTTACTTCATATTGAATACATCACTATGTTTTATAAAATTTTTTTTTCAAAGCCAAAATTTCAAAGGTTTTGCTTGAAAACATCAATCTCCTATTTTTTTCTTTAACCTTTCTCTAATAATCAGCGATCCGAGAGAAAAGTCTGCCAAATATTCACATTCATTATAATTGTAACTTTCTTGTTTTGGCATTTTTTCCGAGAAACATACCATTAATTTATTGTATGACACTCTTTCCTGATTCTTGCAGGTTCTCGACAAAACCTTTGTTTTGAATTACCATTTGTTGTCGTTTGCAATATGCGGACGCCCTCCAATCCTTCCATATTTGGCGTTTTTGTTTTTTTTGTTTCATCCAATTTGTCATTGATCAAAATCCGTACTCATTGCGGAAGTAATGGAATATACGCCTAGATTTCTTTCTAACCTTGATTCTTGATAAATCGAAACATATTTTTTGGTATCTGAACCCAATTAGCTGAAATTTCCGTGGAACTTTCACGTGACGTGAAATACATTGTTTGCTAAATTCGATGATATCATTCAAAATAATGATGACAATATGCCTTCCAAATCTATTTTTTAATATTAAAAGCCTTTGTGTTTGCGATTTTAAGTATATTCTATCTAATCGATTCTATTTCATCTATTCTGCCATAGAAGGAATGTATGCCTTGCGTTTGAAATTTGCAGAAGGGCGTCTCAAGATGGACCACCCGTTGTGAAATGTCAAAGAACCATCGGGTAAATAAACATCGCCACACCAACTCTGGCAATTTTCGCAATTCATGATAAAGAAGTGCTTATTTTTCTTCTCGGTTTTGCTTTCCGGTGCACAGTCTCAAGATCTTTTCCGGTTTTCGCGGCATCGCCAATTTGACACCTATCCGCACAATGTGCCGTCGGCCGTCCGCCCCGCCGCCGCCCGCTTTGATAATCAACCAGATTAATAAATTTGATTTTGCGGCGCGCACAACTTTTTTTTATGTGCCTTCCTTCTCCCCCCTCCGACTGCCGGGTTTTAATAAGAATTCGTCTTTCCGTTTTGACGTGAGACGACTGGTTGCGCATTTTGAAATTTGCTAGCCCGATTCTGCTCCAGTTCATTTTAGTAATTAGAATGTACTAAGCGTTTACAACTTCCACTATTTCAAACAACAATTGAAAGGTCAATTATGTGTAATATATTTGTAAAACTATGCCTGAAATCACTTTGCAATTACAAAGTATGCGTTGGTATAATTCATTTTCAATTTCAAAGATAAAGATGGAATGTTTCAGAGAAGGTATTGACTTAAAGATTATTAAGGTGTCCTTCTGATGATGAAAATTTAGAACAAAATTCCCAACGGGGTCTTTTTTTCAGTGAAAATTTTCGCCTATTCTCAATATTTTTCGAGCGCATGTCATTTAATCAACAAATTTTGTTCAATAATTTTTGAAAACAAAAATTAATAATGTGTGTTTGATTGAATATATTTTCGGCCCAAGTGTTTACCCAGATTTCAAAAGGAATTCGCCAACTATTTGGAACGGATTGCGCAATTGGCTGACCATTCCGCCAATTCCTGTCCTGCCTGTTCATCACCATCTGTACTTTGTTGATTTTCACGCGAACCAATTCGCTTCCAGTTATGTAAACGTTTCGATTTGGAAAAAAAAATTTGCATGTAAGCAATGATTTGCATAAGTTTCGAGTCGTCCATTGAGAGGGGCATATCTTGCAAAATTGAAACTCGCCTCTTTCCCTTTTCTTCACAATGATTAATCTAAAGCGGCCTCTTCTGTGATATCGTCAAATCCCAATATCGGCTTGACCTTTTTTCTATTCACCTCTATCGATTTTTGCAATGTTTTCTGTCGCTGATCCACTGTCACTATCAATTGAAATCACAAAATTGTTCTGTCGCCTGATTAAAAATATGACCTTTTAACTATGTGTGTACATATAATATCAAGTTTTCTATTTTATATTCGTTTGCCAAATTTTGAGTAATTGCGCCGGGGAGGGATGAAGAGGTGTGGTGATTGTATTTGGTCACTCACAATATCTAATTATTATTTACAATAGTCTTATCATTTGTTTTCAAAACTTCCTGGTTCAGTGGCGCTTCACAAAAGATTCATCTATTTGTAATATCGCTGGTTTCAGTGTGAATGCTAATAAATTAGTTTGACCTTCATCTATCATAATTCACTCACGTAGCAAATTCGATTTCTATTACAATTCTTATCAAGTTAGTCGTGCAAACTGCAAAAAAAACAATGGTTGATCTGATTTTATCTGCAACTGTTTTTTTTTCTTGGCTAATCTTTGAGTATTACTCAACAAAATTGAACTAATTGGTTCATACCTATTTAAGACAGCATAAGGCTTATTAAATCTGAATTTTCAGAACTTTTTCGTTGTATAAAACTTAACAAAATTTACTCATTCTTCCCGATTTGAAAGAATTCTTGGTCCTCTTTTGACCTTGTCAACTTCCAGATACGAATGCCAATTTGGGTAGTCGTCATGCTGGCAATCATTGCCGGCGTGCTTGCCGTCGTCCTGCTTCTCGTCCTCTTCTTCTGCCTACGATCGGATAAGAAGAAGCAGCCGCCATCGCCAGCTGAGCCAATTCGCCGATTGCCGACTCGCACTGAGAGCAGTGAGTTTTGAAATCGAATTTTTCCGAAACAACAAAAACGATTTTCTCTCTAGCAATTGGCGTCCGCCCGAAGATCCCGAATCCGATATACACGATTAACGCAAATGATATTAAACGAGAAAAAAGCATCAGCGATACAATCACAACACGCAAATGTGAGGGATTCTGAGGAGACTCGTAAAATTTCAGACCATTGATTTTTTGCAGTGTCAATGATGTTTGATTCGAAAAAGCGATTCTCAACTGCATTTTCGCACAAATCGGCATACTTTGACTTTGAGAATTCTCCATTACCCCGACATAAGGTTTGCAAGCATATGGAAAGATAATATTATAAAGGACCTATCAGGAATATTTGGATTTCAACGATATCGAAAATATAATGCCAGTGAAAAAGACCAGCTTACCAGATCGACCACGATTGGAATTTTTGAATGGTAGCTTAAAATTATGAGAAGCCTTAAACGTTAAGATATGGGTTTAGAAAACCCCACCCCAGAGAAAGCCAATAATGAAAGGACCAATGAAACGAAGAATCATATCCCGGTTCAACAAGTGTTCGCTGAAGACGAAATTTCATTCAACAAATCGAAACATCCGATTTATGCCAACTAGCTAATTTGATATTAAAAAGCTTAGTTGCTCACTATATTCGGGTACTATGTAAATTCACATCGCACACAACATCTTTTTTTTTTTCTTCTTAAAACCGCTTTCACGCTTTAGCTTCTTGCATGTCCCTCACAGTTTCTAACCACCAACCAATCGACAAATCGTACATAACGAAGGAATTTCGAAATGAGGTGATTCCAGCGAGATCTCAAAATTTCTTATTCTCATCTTCAATAATGATGGTCAAGAAATTTACTAATAAGACAACAATCCAACCAAACTTCCACACCAGTTTCCATTCATTTGCACCATTCTCAGTTTAGTATTATTTTATGGTTCCTAGAGGGAAAAAATGATCATTCTTAAATGGCTATAATTAAAGACAATGGTGTAATTATAATTCACTAAATCGTGTGACAATCACGCCAAGTTAAGTGTCCGCAGCATGTAAATTAAACATTTTTTGTTTCTTATTTTTACACTCAAGTATTTTTGCGACATCATTTTTATCCGAATAGGACCTCCAATTTTATATAGAAAGCGTCTCCCACCCCCCCCCCATCAAAATTTTTCACTTTTGTTACAAAGTGAAATCGCCGGTGTATAACTCACGTGTACATTCGGAGCCTTTGTATTTGTTAAAATTTTCTATTATTACATGTATGTATGTATGTAAATTAATATCAGTATTGAACAAATGTTTTTTTTTTCTGTATTTATTCACTAGTATTTGTCGATTTCAATAAACTATATCAACTTTATGCAACTTGAAGAAAATTGATCACGTCGTTTGAAATGATGAGAGTCTTAAGCAAGAATTCCAATCGGCTCTTCCTCGATTCCGCAGGCATTGATGCCTCGAGCAAAGTAAATGTAGCCGTGCTCAACGCCCCATGTGTTTCCCCAACTGTTCTTCACAATCCAATATTTCTCGCCTTCCTTGCTCGTTCCATAGCCGGTGATGAGAAGAGCGTGCAGGCCGATAACCTGTTATCAATGTTGAAAATTGGTGACACATTTATCAATATCGAATTGCATTGGTTCAACATGACAAGTTGACGGACAATTGCGGTTGATTGAAATTCTATGTCATAAATTATCAAAACTTGTTTTTTTTTCTACCTTACTGGAAAACACCATTTCCCGTTTACTCATAATCAATCAAATTTTTTTTGGTCAGTTTTGATACTTACCTCATTTTTACAAGCGTACTCGCTTGGTGTGAACACTCCACCCTTATAAGCTCTCATTGGCTGAATCACGGACATTCCTGAAAATGTTAAAATAGCATTTTCAATTTCGAATGGAAGGGTACCGATGTTGACAGGTCCAAAGTTCAATAGCCAATTGATGATCGAGTCCTCATCGGGATGCAAAAAGTAGGCCGCCTAAAAATACCATATTCAATGAAATATTTCAAATTTTGACGACCTTGATCTTAGTAGTATTCCAGTGGTCATCAACGACGCAGGTGTTTTGCCGGTGCGCGACATATGGAAGATCTTTCGCGTACGCAAGCCCATTACGGTGGATGAAACTGAATTTAGACATTTTTGAAGTGGGGGAGATCGTGATGAGATGCCAACCGAAAAGCCTTGTCTTCATCTCCTCCATCACAAGCATTGTCGACAAGATCGCAATCCAAGAGGGTTTGCTCTGAAAGGTTTCGCATCTCGCCGTTATGAGCAATCGCCCACGCAGCTTCGACTGTGGCGGTGGATGCAAAAGCCCAGCAACTACCGCATTGACCTGAAAATTTGAGAAATGAATAATTTATTAATGTTCTGAACTAAACCTTGAGCTTTGACGGGAGTGATAACATTCTTGTCACGCCAATCGAAGAAATCGGGAATGGCTGACATTGTTACTGAACAGTAATGAATAAAAAAATAAATGAAACGTAGCACAATTACAGGTTTTGTTGACAAACTCATCAGGAATTGGCTTAATAAATTCAGCGTCCTTGCGAAGCGTCTTGTAAAAGTCCTTTGGTAGCAGCATTTTCTGGAATTCCTCATCAGTCCAATCCGACATATCGTTCTCTCCATATATGGCGTTTCCGTGCACTTTTTGAGCATTGTACTCCTCAACGCGCTTCTTGTTCTTCTCATAAGCAAACATGCGAATGAAACTTTCGGTGTCGTCGCTGTACTTGCGGCCATATCTTGAAAACCATAATCACATATATTAATGGAGACTTCTGTTACTTGTATGCATATTGAAGATAGTTCTCGAATCCACTGTTATCATCGAAAGGTCCTGGGAAAGCCTTGAGAAGATCACCCCAAGTCTTGATGGTGAAGTTGTCCTCTTCCTCTTCCTCTAATCCATCATATTTTGGTGCTGCGGTCATGAAAATTAAAACAAGTAATAGGAAAACGACAAGGCCGAGAAGGTAGATAATCGAACGAAATCTGAAATTTACAAATTTCGGTTACGTTAAATTTTAGACACCTTACGATTTTCTGACATTGTCTCCAAGCTCCTCGATGTCAATTCCTCGATCGTTTGCTATTAAGTTTAGCTTATCATCAGGTTTCCTTGGTACGAAACTGAATATAATAATAAATCAGCAATTCTGAAAATGGACAGCCAACAAACCTGAATGTCATGGCTTCCCAAATTGAGATGAGCCCGTTAAGATTCAACTGAAAAAAATTGGTGGGTGGATTGTTATCAGTAAACTAAAAATTTCGCGTTATCTCATCAAAATGTCCTTAAAATCGCGATTAAATATTTGAATTGATAAAAACGGAGCGGGTGTCGCAAAGCGGTTATTTTACAAAAAAAAATGATTGCTACCAATTCGCAATTCTCACAAAATACTATTGCTCGAATGAATGCATGAAATTGTATTAATCAACATTGAAGAAGAAAATTGAATATGTGTGGGCTGAAAATGTGTGAAAATCTATTGCATGAGGATCGAGAATTATGCGGAAGCATGCTTAGAACATTAAAAAGCTAGAGCGAAGAGTCGGCGAGGAATTAATCTCGAGCATTGGATTACGTAAGCTAGACAATATTAGCGTCACAAATTTACATTCAAAGCGAGATAAAGTTCTACATAAATGGCCATAGGCCTAAGCACATTGTAATAAATGACCAAATAGGAAATGCGATTAGACGAATGGGGGGAGGGTTGGGAAGTACACCAAAAATAGGCAATATTTTGCTTAAATAAAAGTGAGATGAGAGCATTTATAGCGCCGTGATTCAACGGACTTATATATGCATATCAATCAATCACATGATTATTGCATATACGCGATAATTTTTTTTTAAATTTTGTTACCTTCATTTTATTTTCCTTTGTTTTAGATATTTCTCTCATGTGATGAATGTAAATGCTTGTGCTGTGCATTATAATGTTTATGAATTTTTTATTGAGGAACTGTGGGTGCTGGGCTTCATTTGCGTAAGACATGGTTATCACTTCTAGAAATTTCTGCCAGACAATATGTGTAGGCTTAATGGAAAAGCTTTTATCGTCAATTATTTTGGCCAAGTGACGAATTATATTTTCTCAATGATTTTATCACTTTGACTAACTTGCGCACATCATTAATCTGCAAGCTGAATATAAGAATATTTCATTTGTGCAAATGTAATGTGTTTCCAAAGATTTGAAATATCCTAATGCTTTATTCATAATTCTAAATATTTAATATTGCGGAAATGAAGTATTTTGTGTAAAATGATTCATTTATTTTCTTAAAATAAATTTCCAAATGCCTTGAATTCTTTGGCGATGACACTTGTTATAATTACTCGTAATAAAAAAAAGAGTAAAATATTGATTCTGCTGGTAGGGAAAAAATAATGAAGCTAATAAACACCTTTGTGTCATTATCAGCTGATATAATCCCCTTTCTTAACAAATCCATATTCAGAATAACGCATTTATTAAATCGGCGATGAAAAAATGTACAATGAGAACAGAAAGTATTAACAAAAATGGGACGATACAAATTAATGTGTGTTTTTTTTACCGGATGTTGCACTTCGAGAATACTAACAGCAAGCAAGCGACAATGACACATTGTCGATAAGAAAAAGAAAGTATTTTTGGATTTTCAAGCATTATATGATTTTTTATTAATGAGGTTTATATGGACCCGCATGTTATAAGAGTTATGCTCATTACATACATAAAGTAAATACAATGATAATTGATAGAAAATTGAAGACAAGTTAACTGGGACCCATAGAATTGACCATGTTCGAACTACCTAGATGTTATTAATGAGAATGAGAGAATGAAAGCAAAAAGCTTAAGCGTAGTCATTGAGTTTCGCTTCCTTTTCAGATATCCTAACGGGACATTTGCTGAAGCATCGGCAAACTGCAACGCACAGCACTGCCAAAATTAGCAATGCAAAACTGATAGCCAACGCAATAACCGGCAGCTTCAATTTTGATGAGTGCAATGACGTCTCTCTAAGAACGGCGATTCTCGTTTCCGCAAATGCTTCGCGACCTGGAATATATATTCATAAATTAATATATTCTCATGGTTATCTTTATATTGGTTGCGCAACGCACACAACCAAAACTTTATGGATGGTAGGGGCTCACTTAATAAATAGAGGGCCATAAACAACACTAGACAAAGTCCTACCGATTGCGTCATAGTTGGTGATGCGGAACATAAACTCGCAAGTTTTGTCCTTTGGTAAAATCAGCTCATAGTTTTTGCTTTCCGCTCCGAGGTATACGGTAGTTGGATTTTTACTGCACGGTCCGACGTAGGCTTGATACGTGATACCATAGGTCAGAATGTTTTCGGGTTCGGCAGACGGCGTCCAAGTGATCAAAGCCGTCGAGTTGGGGCGAACCGCCACTCGAATATTTGACACCGGCTCTGGCGCTGCAATTGTTTATGTCAGCGTCACTGTAACACTTCTCGAATATCCTTACCGCATTGAAGGCTGCCTTTGCCGTAAACTTGCTTGCACTGAAACGAGTTGAATCGAACAGTGATCGGGCTTGTTGCTGTCAATTTATCGGACGAAAGTGCACTGAGAAGAACGGAGTAAGACGAGTCGAATTCCAAATTTTGCAGCAAAATCGATAGTGTCGGATCAACGACAATCTCACGGGTCAATGATGTCGTCGAATATTTGATTTGCACCCGATAATAGCAACTGTCATAAGACGTCCTGTAATTGGCACTCATTACTGTCGTTTTTTATTTTTCATTGAGCTCTATCGTGCCGCCGTGTAATTATCGAGCGGAAGTCATTATGAAATAACATTATTGCAGCAACAAACCTTGGAAAATGCAAATGAGCCATGACACCATGCTCCGAGTTGAATCCATTTTTTACAACCAGTGGCGATCCAGGGGTTTTCAGCACGAGATTGCTGGAAATTTCGGCCCATTCACTTTGAATGGTATCACCAAGTTTTCCATTAGGTCCGATCACCGTGATAAGGAACTTGTACTGAACTCCAGGAATCAATCCATCAACTTTAATATGATTATCGGATTCCACCTGCAAACCGTCAGATTAGTATCTGTTCGGTATTGACTGCTGCCATACAGATGCTGTAATCCATTGACTTTCATCGTAGTAGCCAAGAGCGTAAGATCGTTGTTTCCATTGAACAACAAATTGAATTGGGCCAGCTGGTCGCGTTTTGGTGATTCCAATGATTCCCTACAAATCCGTCGGTGGCAATTGAATGTACTAGTCTAATACCTCGAATGAATCGAGAAATTCCGGTGTACTCGATGGCATCTGACAAAGAAGCTCAACAGTGGATACTGGGGATGATCCGATTTTTCCGGAATTAGCGCTGGATTCCATCCAAAATTTTGCGCCATGTAGAGCAGGCCCGGTGACATTTGCACGTTTCATATCCCTTCGATGTTGAAATTGAAGGCAACCGCTGATGCAAATATCGGTGTCTTCATTTTCCACAAATCGCTCCTCCGTGGTGCCATCAAGTAGAACTCTATTGTTCGGATAGGAATACTGTAAATTGCGTTAATTACAAATGATAATTACACTCTCAATACCTTTTCAAAACATTTGGCCTTGCATTGCGCGAGCCGGAAAAAGTGCGAATAGTCGATCTGGACATATGGAAGAACAACGAAAGATTGAACGGCTGATAGAAGCAACACTGACGAGCAGCAGATGAGTGACGACCATCCCATCTTGATAATACTGAAAACACAAAAACTAATTATAATTTCGACGCATATAATGAAACGTTGACGAAGCGTAAAAGAGAATTATGGTAATTTTTGGGAAGAGAATAAAAAGGGAAGCGCGACAAGAAATAGTTGCTCATAGAAGAAGGTGAATGGTTGCGTGTAAAGAGCGGCGCGAGGCGTCTGTCAACAATTTTTGAAAAGCTTTCACATAGTTATGAATAGAAAATGGTATGTGATGCGCAGCTGCATAAGCCATTTGGTGACCTCTTAATAATTAGTTCAATTTTGTTTTTTTTTTGCAGCACATGAGGGTAAAAAACATTACATTATAGGTGGCCTCAAATGTGTCACTTTTCAAACCACGGTGTTATAAGTTATGCAAATAAGGTAATAGGTGACAATGTGCATCCCACCCCCCGTTTGCAATATCTGAATAAATGGCTCATTGTGTTAATGTTTCGCCAAGGACAATATGCATTCAACAAATACCTGCACATTGAACACAATACTCTTGAGGTCACAATGATTATTCATCAATATGACGAAAAAAAAAAACAAATATCGGGAAAAGTTTTCGTCTGGTCGCACTCGCAACCATCATTTACCGTGTGGTGGCGACATTTGACCAGAAGGCAACGAGCTGACAATGGGATTTGCATAGTCGCAGACATTGGCGAGCACCAAACATTACACAACTGCGATTTATTGCTCAATTTCTTATAACTAAGGTGTTCTTGTGAGCTCGAGATGCGAGGTGCCCTCTGGAGCCAGGAGGCGATAAAAAAATTATATAAATTGCTGCTCGTTAAAAGCCGCTGCTTTGAATGACAGCAGGAGGCGATTGAGAAGCAAAAAAAACAACTTGCAAAAGTGATTAGAAATTCGATTGCGTGCCCCCTCATAATGCGAATTAGTATAACGAGAAGCTGGCGTTCGTAGAGTTGGAGGGAGTTGTCGCGATAAAAAAAAGAAATGAAACACAGCAACAAAAAAAAAATAAGTTTGTTTTTGTGAGGGCACTCACTCAGATGCTAATTGGCAACACACTTGCTCACATAAAAAAATCGGGAGCCTATCAACTGAAGCAACAATGCCGTGCCCCATGTCGGTGGCAGGCTAGCAGGCAGGCAGGAAGCAAGCAAGTGGGTAAAAGTGGGCGTCTACAACAGCGGAAAGTTGAGATGCGCGCGCAGGCGGGGATGGGCGAGAAGGCGTGGCCGGTATAAACTGACAACGTGCCAACACGCGGTCTTTTTCGTCACCTTATCAAATCATGAAAATATTGGCTAACAAGCTTTGACCCAGGTCACAAGGTGCGAAGTGCAAGAATTTCGTTGATTGGACCCTCAACGCAACAACATAACCTATAATTAGAAATGAGAGCGAACACTCACACGGCCCCCCTTGTGCGAAGAACACTAACCACTTGAAGAGTTTTGAATAGAAATTGGGGGACAAATTGAGGGATTTGAGGTATGGGAACGTTTTAACGGGATGAGCGCGTTGCCATTGTTTTGGTGATCGTTGGGCGGAGGGGGGGGGATGAGAAAATTGCTGCACCTACCTGTCTGCCCAAATATGCAAATGTGATATTGAACACGCGGAATCTTGAGATTTTCAAAAATTCTTGTTTTCGACTGGAACACATGGAAAAATAAATTTCTACTTGAGAGAAGAAAACAATTACGATTATCGCGTGGGAGAACACTATTTTCCACAATGAATATTATAAAACCTCGGCTTCATAGAACAGTAGCAATAATTCAAACTTACATCATCAGAAAAAATAACGACAAAAGGGATTATGACATAGCTAGCAAGAGGAATTGAGTTCAAAAGCACATCAAATAAATAAATCAGGTTAATTCGAGAAGGATTACCTTGCCGTCCGACAAATGTCTGCCGCCGACGCCAAGAAAAAGCACCTGTTCTCGAATGATTGTCAATCATCGGTGCTTCACAGGCTGGTGTACCGCTCATTATTAGGCTCCGTTCTTAATTAACGCGCGATTGTAAACGAGCTGCGCATACGCCAATCCATTCTTCGTTGAACACCACAAAACAACACGATTATTACAATGAGGGCAGCTCTTTTGAAGCTCGCGCGCGAACAACACAGCCCGTGATCATCAATTAGAAGCAGTACCTGTAGCTGTCATCATAAACAACATATGTGAACTGATGGGACTCTAATAAATAATTTGTGGGCTCGAGGCAGATGGACGGTGAAGTTTCTGTCTACGACGGGACCAGTTGGGAATTGGATCAATCTTGTCAATTTGAAACAACATTGTATGACAGGAGATTAACTCGTTGCGGGGATGAGGCTGAATTGAGGTTAAGTAGATGGACTGTCGCGATAATGGTCTCGACACATGGCACGGATCAACCTGTCCGCACAAGTTTTTGGCACATCCCCACAACACCAATTAGGAGGAATGAATCCAATGTGGTCCGATGAAATGCAAACAATGCAACATAATTAAAGACTTGAATTGCGCAATCCGGTCAGAAATTGACTTTGTATTCCTGCAGGTGGGTAAAAGGAGAGCTAATAGAAGTTACGTTGGCTGTATTGTTGGTTCCTCCTTTAAGGTGTCATGTATAAGATATTGTGCAATTCTGCAATGATGCAATATCTTTCATGTCGGATCAAATATGTCGGGACATGATATTAATAAGACGTAACTTGGACTTGTTGCGAACTAGAAGCGATTTCTAATACATGCCAAATCTAATCAGTAAATGAAAATAGGGCTTCAAATATTTCTATATGGATTAAATATTTCGGTGGCCGCGGGATGCCTATCTAATCTCGGCATTACTAATTCCTCTGTTTATCTTCAAAAAAAAAAACCCAAACATCGAGCTTATGTATTCATCGTCGTCTGTAAACAAGTCCAGAAAGATATATCTATGTACATGCTATGCTGAATTCCCGAAAAAAAATAAATGATTGAGTACTTGGTTAATGGAGAAGAGCAAGTTGTATCCGGCGGCAAAATGGATTGAGATATTTTTCCATTCTATTCCATAAAAAAAGAAGTGAATAATTAAACAGTCTTGTGTGAAAAGGTGTAATAATTTTTGATGCATTATTATTATTATGCGATATATAGCAAAACAAAAAATAACGATATACATCAGCCCTCAGATCCACATTAGTATTTACCGTCTGCTCAATAATTATCACTATAATAAGGGTCGAACAGATTGCTGGTGTTACTTCTCTCGGACTACAGTAGTGCAATTAGATGTCTCGGACTCATCGTGGAAAAAAAGAGCAAAAAGAAATATTGTTGGGAGATTCGGAATAGATCGCAGCTGTCAGCTATACCAGCGGCTCATTTCTCAAAAAAAAAAAACGCTCCAGTTTATGCGATTTGCGCACATTTGTAATATTCAGAATCAAGTTTTTTTTTGCCTCAACGATGGCCCATTAGTCATCTCATTCCGTTTGGGCCATTGACACGTGTGTTTTGCGAAGAACACCACGAAAATTCAACGAACCGTATTTTTGCAATGAGGTATTGCACGCAGTTAAGCAAACTGGATTCGAAAGCTACACCCTAGATGTGATTTGATTTCAAATCTCAACATTCGCACAAAACATGGGAAATGCTTATGATGAGCCGAAATTCAATTTGCACGCATCCTGGCGGCAAGTTTAATGAGCCCCCAGTGTGTATTTGAGTTAACCACAAAAACCTTTGGCAATGTGTCAACCACACGGGGGGGGGTTGTAGCATAGAGTTGCACACAATGCTCCTATTCATTTGTTACTACAATACCCTATGAGTAAAGCATGGGGAAGGAATACATTGGGCTTCCACTATTTTTTTTTTTTAGGTTAAGAGAAGTTTAAACTATATTTAGGCGACATTTTATTCTAAAAGCGGCACAATGACTCAAAAAGAAATGTGTAATAACGTTTGGGACATTGAAAATATTGGAAATGTTAATAATAAAATAGTAATGGGTGATTAAATACAGTTGCGCCAAGGTGCAAACGCGCAGCTTCTTTGAAACAAAAACGAAAAAGTTCGCACTATATAAGGTATTAAAGTTATCACCTGCCAAGATTCACAGTATTTTTTGTGATTTGATAAGTGATAACATGTGCAAGAGCCATTGGCGGCTCAAAAAAGCGTTTGCCTAAGGAAATGCGAATTCTCAGAAGGGGTGCCATGTATAAAGAATCTAGAAAAATGTAAAATAAAAAGTGCTTAATACATATGTAAATTAGAGAATTCAAGACATGCAATTATAACAAAGTTTTAATAATATAACAATATTTACATTCCGCACAATGGGAAAAACGTTGTTCAAAAAAGGTATTATTCATTCGATATGTTTTTCTCCGAAAATTCTTCTTATAGCTCTCTATATTCTTTCTTCAAAACATTTTTTGTATTCACGTCGCTTAAACAAAAAAAAAGACGAAAAAAGAAATTTTAGCTCTTCAGAATTTATAGTTAGTCAGTTTGAAATATGCATAAAATATATTGGGGGGGGGGAACAGAAGAATATAAATGAATTTCGGGAGCGATGCCTTTGTGAAAAATGAAACATGTATTTTTTGTGGACAATGGAATGGATGCACTAACAAGGTTTGAAAAGAATCGAATAGCGGATGAGAATTGAATTTTGACTAGAATTCACCGCTATTCTTTTTTTCTCCATATTATTATATTATGTGGGCGGCGTTGGAAACCGGGAGAAGAATTGATTGGGTGTGATGTTAATCTAAACCACATACTCATCATGACATAACTTTTCGACGTTGTAAATGTGTTCGGCCTTCAGTCATACATGCGCAACGCTTTTTAATCGAGCCGCCATTAGGTTTTTTTTCTTAGGTGGCCACACCGACGCAACGGCAGTCTTCAATTATTGCGCAGTCATGCTATTTATTCAATGTGATATGTTAGGAACAAGATTATTATGCGGTTGACAAGGTTATACCAATTCTGACATTGAAAAGGAAACCGACCAACAAGTGATTGGGTCAGGAAATGCCTTTGAGTCCAGGGCTAGCTATATGCATACAAGGAAAAAACAAATCTCCTCAAAAATAACATTAGAATGATGAGCGCAAAAAAAACAAACTTCTAAATACTTGAGATAAGATTAAGTCAATTTTCCAAAAATTAACTAATCGCAACTTCACTTCCTTTTTTGATGTTCCCTAACTCTTTTTTATTTGCTGAAACTCATTCAAAAATCGTATTAAAAATCATATCTCAAACGAAATTATTTTTTCAAGCTATTTCGGAAAAAATTCAAAATACCAGTAAAGCTTTGTAAAAAAACTATTTCTTTGGTATATTTCAGTTTATTCTTTTTAAAATCTGATTATAAAATAATAGTTAATACTGTAAATTAAATTAAGTGACACTATATTATAATTAATATGAAATTGGTTGAAAACTCATGAATGTAATAAAACATTCGATTTATAACATTTCAATCTCAACAATTCGGTAATTGGTCTGATTTAAAGTCATACGTTAATCCTTTACTGCTAATTACGTGCATACGCATGTATGTATGTATGTACATTTTTGGTAATTTAACTAATAGAGAAGTTGGAAAACCTAGAATACGTTGTTGGTTTATATAAAAGATATTACATTTCGCCTATGTTTGTCTTTGCATATGTACATTTGAAATTTTAATGATTGGACTTGTTATGAAAGCTTTTATGAAACTAATTTGCTAATGTGAAAACTAATACATATTCAGCGAGGAGCACGTTTCAAAATCTTTGAACTTCTCAAGTTTGGAAAGAGAAAGGGTGCAAAAACAAAAGGAGGTAGTCTATTTGTTCGAAATATTCTTTGGCGATAAATTAGAATGTCAGGGTGACCGCCAAGGTCAACAATTGGGTTGATGCCGAAGAATGGCAAATTTTACGCACATATTAGGTAAATCAATGGTAATGGATTTGAAGTGAATATTCGTCGTTTGGAACAGAAAAATAATTAGATATTGAATATAAATAAAAGTGAATTGCAAATTCGAGATTTCCAGCTGAAATAAAATCTGGAAATGAATGTGAACGGCGAAAATCCATAGAATTGTCGTTTAAAGAGACACCTGTTCTTAAATATATTAGCGAGGATTTGTATTAATTATATCAAGCCAATACGTCTGGCAAAGCACGGCGTGCGCGAAAATTGATGTGCTCGTTGTAAAAAAAGGCAGATAACGTTCGCCAGATGCCCCACTCGTAGAGTGCAACGGAAAATTCAAAAATAATAAGTCGAAAAGTTTGGTTTGAAAAGCAGACCAAATAAAAAATGAAGTTCTTTAACTGATAAACTGAAACCAAAAAAAAATTCCAAAATGTTTAGGTTTATTGTACATAATTCTAAAAAAAACTAGAAAAAAGTTTTTTTCGTGCGATTCCGTGTGAGACTATTGTGAAATATATATTCCTGTACACATTCGTTTATGAACGGCATCTACTTAATCGAATCTTGAATGTTTAAAACATTACCGATTTTTTTGTAATATATTTAAATTCAAAATCTTTAACAAAATTACTATACCTGCTGCATTTTTTCAAAGCTGAAAATAACAAGATGACCAATTTTTATGTTTCGAACCTTCCGTTTCAACAATATTTGTCTTTTAGCTTATTATCAAAGACATTTTTTTTTACAAAAGTCATAAATTAGTTTATATCATCATATAAGATTCTGAAAATCGGTTCCATAGTTTCAATACGGTATTGAAGACGAAGAACTTGGAGAATTAAAGCGATATCTCAATACGCTCCTTTCTGAGTTTTGCTCATACTACGCAATCGTTAAAGCTTTGTACACAAATTAGAAAAGCGCAAAATGTTTACAAAATACAAAACTTGCTTTGAATGATGAGTTCTGACTCTTTGAACTTGCCCGCAGCTTATTTGCAAAGTTTTTCGCACAAATCATTATGTAAATACCGAGTGTCAATTAATAAACATTGTTTTTTTTATTCTTCTGTTATTTGTTTGTTTGTTTACGTATTTCACACTGTTATAAATAAGGTTGGCCCGTTATTACGTGAAGTCGCTCCGAGTGCAATTGCACCATATTCAAACATGGTAGTTTAAGATGCATATTTACCTATTGGGGTCAAACCATTGAAATTGGAGGAGCAATGACAATCAACAGAAAAAAAATTTGCCAAAAATGGAATCGCATTGAAAAATTAGTAAGCAACAAGCAAATAGTATCAAGTTAGCTTCGTTCAATTTTCTGTGTCAACAGTCTTATTTCTAGTTTTGATCATTTACTTACTCGCGATCAAACTATTAAAACGTTGAGTATATAATTTGGTAATTCACAGCAAATTCGGCACTATTTATTTTCAATTTCCCATTTGCACCGTAGTCGGCTTATGGCCCTTTAGCTGATTGTTGCGCAATTGAGGTCTTTTCAAGTGTCAATACAAAAAAACCATTGCTACTTTTCACTTCCGGTCATTCGGTGTTTTCCTTTGCTATTGTGAGTCCGCGCTTATACAGTAATCCCTATTTTGAATTTTTGTTCATTTTGTTTATGAGGTGTGTGCTCTTCCATTAAACTAAAATGATTTTTTCGAATAGAATTAGAATTCTAATTAGAGCTTAGTTTTAAGCAACAGTGAACATTTTAATTGTTGCCAGTGAAAAACGACAAAGGGTCAGTCTAGCAAAATTTTTGTTGATTTTTGAGTGGTTGAATTTAGAATATGACTTTCTTGACGACAAACGTTGGCACATATTCAATATTTCTTTGATTTCAATCTGCCGTTTGATGCTGGCAGTATTTCACTCAGTGACTTTAACAAACCTGTAATAAAATTTTTTTCACAGACTATCGAAATAAATATATTCAAATTTATCTGCAACCACAATGATAACAAATAATTCTTTCAATCTTAAAAATTATTGAATTTTATTAGCGTAAGGTAAATATATGGAATTTCACTTTTTTCCTACATCAATATTTTTTGATGTTTACTAAAATTTCCAAAAGCAAACTTAATTCATTCAACTTATTTCTATAAATACAGTCGACCAAGAGCGTTTCCGATTTTCGGACTTCTTTTCCGGTTGCCGTTAGACACTTAATAATAGTAACACAGCGGCGTTTGTTATCATTAGTTTGCGTTTCAAAAACCAGTCAGTTAACAAGTCAAAATTGTGGATCGCGCGTCATGATCTAGCGCTTCATCCCAAAAAAATGCGATCCACCTGCAGTATCGCATACACAAAAACCGGAATTTCCTCGGTGCCCCCTGCGCGACCTCAGCTAGCAAGAGCACAACACGCTAGTTTTTTTTCCCACTAACTACTTGAACCTGAAAAAGAGCAATCAAAGAAAATAGCGCGGCGAATGCCGAATGAAATAAAACATTTACTCTACCAGAGTTTCACAGTATCGGTGTATTGTTTCAATTTTTGTCTAGAGTTATATCTCGCATCCATTTTTCTGTTCAAAATTTCAGGTGAAGATGCTAATAGTTGATGAGCAGTTGAAGATAGGACCCGATCCATTATACAGTCCTAGCCACCATTGTAAGAACTTTCAGTATATTCAAGCTTCTGAATTACTCAATGTTTCAGCAATATCAATGTCGGAAGATATTGAAAGAAGCGATAGTGACAGCATCGAGAGCCCAACAGACAAATACAGAAGACCTTGGATTTATGAGCCAAGGGCTACGTGAGTCTTATGAGCGCTGATTCAAAGAAAAAATTTGAGATTGTTATTTCTTCTGTTTTTTTTTAGAAATTTCTTTGTAAGACTTATTACGAGTCTTTATGCCTTGATTCTTACAATTATTGCGCTTGTCGTTGAAGTTTCGCCGAGTTGGAGGAAAGATATGTGGATTGCAGAATCGGTAAGCCTTCAATCATATGCCAATTTTAATCAGGTTTTTAAGGTTTTCTATATTGCCATGTACTCTGGCGGAATAATATTCTTCATTTATTGCTATGTATTCATTATCTATCCAACCCCTTACAATTTCGTTATTTCAATGTTGACAAAGTATCGAATCATTAAGAATGCTGACCATTGGTTCATTATGAGAAGTCAGCACAATGGGGAAGGCGCTGGAACATTGTATTTGAGACTTGGCGCACTATGTATATTAAATATTGAATACTTATTTGCAATTCTATCAATTTTCAGTTTTTGGAAGCGTTGGAATTGTTCTTTTCGGTCTTGAATTATTTCTCTGTATTGAAAACAAGGAATCCAATAAAATGGGAATCGTGAAAATGACAGTGGCGATCGTTTTTACGTTTATTCAAATGCACTTCATTTTCTGTAATTCCAAAGTATTATTTGATGAAAATTAAATTTTCTAGTCATTGCAATCTTACAGATAACCGTAAACGGGTCTCAGAACATAGTCGCGCTTGGAATGATGCATTTGATATCTGTGAATCTTTGGACCTGGTTTCGATTTGTACTAGCCAAACAGGTAGCAAAATTTTACAATCATCTTCGATGTGATATCATCTGCAGGAGGCAAAAGCATTGAAAAAGGCTCAATTGAAGCAGACGTTCCGAAAATATTTTTCGTCCTCATTTTCCGATGAAGATGACAAGGATGACGATAACGTATTTCTCGCATCTTGGATAATTTTTATAATTCGCAAATTTCAGAGCGCTGAAAGTGTGCTAGTAGCAGTAATTAATGAAACAACCGGAACAACAACACCAATGCCAGCGTTCGGCCGACTGTTTGCACTAGAGCAATTCGGAGATGTTGCCACATTCCTTACAACGTGCATCGTTGAGTACTCTTTAATTGGTGCCGCCATTATGTTCATCCTATGGAAATCTGTGGGACACTCGCCAACACATCAATCAACATCTGGCAAGAGAAAATTTCGAATGAGGATCGATTGCAGGTTATTCAGATTAGATGAAGAACAATCAGGTTTCAAAAAAAAATCGATTGTAGCTCATCATCAACTGGACTTTTTGCCGGAATAATATTTCTAATAGGTTCATTAGTGTCCATTGGAATGTATACCATTTTCGAAACTTTGCGAAATAGTGCCGGAGCGCAATTATTATTCGGAATTGTCGATTTGTCTCTATTTTCAATTGCATTGGGAGCATGTATTATAGGACTGTTCAGGTAATGTCATTCCGAGCGATTCCATAAATTCGTTTTGTTCAGAATGCGACTTTTGCAATATCGAATTCATGCTCATGGCGAGATAATTGATGAGATCTTGCTAATTATAGGATTAATTGGAGAATTATTGTATTGCGCTGTAGGTGGGTCAACAATACCTTAATAATCATCTAACCAATTTGGTTATGAAGACGTTTTCCAGGAATTGACGTTTTCATCGCGTGTCAGAGAGCCAACGATTTTTCTGTGAGCGCCTTGCCTGCGATAGTGTTTGTTGTTCGGATGATGCAAGTGGTGGTGCAATCCGCTTTCATCCTGACTACTTCAAGGTTTATAAATAGTGAACATCCATAAAAGTTATTAATTTATCCAGGCTTCGATGCCTTTCAAAATATGCGATGAAGCATAAGCCGGGAAAAGAGATTATCACCTTTTTGCTCGTTTCAAACGTCACTTTATTTGTGTTCCACACATTCGAAGGTGAATTGAGAAAAAAATAATTTTCCAAAAAAAAACATGTTTTTAATATTTCTAGGAATGAAATCGAGTTTCGGATTCTCAAATAAAGCTGGAGCCCAGTATAATTATATTATTTATGCGGTCGGACCACTTCTTGTTTTTTATAGGTACCATAATTCTGGTGATTATTTCTGAAATTGAATACTTCGATTTAGATTCCATAGCTCTGCATGTCTCGCCGAGATCTGGAAACACACTTATAGCATCAAAACGCAGGAGCCGGACAATCACAACATTTGCTTATCGGACTCCAACCTCACTGCTATTACGCCAATATCCGATCATGGAAAAATTGAAGAGCAATCGATATCGCTCAAAGACCATTAAAATTGGGATGACAACCATTTATATATTTTAGATTAATTGTTGATGAGAAATATGCGGGAAAATATTTAACACCTATTGTATTAACCACAAAATATTCAAAACGAGTCAATTCTGCCTGTAAATTTTTGAGTTAGCATTATAAAAAATCTAAATATATATAAATATATATATTTGCATAATGTACTGTTGACATGTTCTCAAACACAATTTCTGAGTGACATTCACAAAAATTAGGACTATAAGAGTCCCTCGTAGCTACTCATGCTTTTTATTCTTGCACTGCTCATGTTTCTTTTTTTTGACGCTTCTTTCTCTTGTTAGCTTAGATTTATTCTAAACACTTTTTGATGAAGCTAATATTTTATTTTTAGCTTTAACTAATTCTCGGAATGTTGCCAAGAATAGAACGGAAAACGTGCTTAAGAGAAGTTTGAACAAATGAAAAAGGAAATGACCATATTGGGGCAACATTTGGAAATAAATGTTTAACCTTTTGCAACCCTTATTAGGAATACATAAACAATGAGAATCTGTGATAATGAGCTGAGCGCTCATCGATGTCACATAGTTCAAAGTTCGAAAATGTTTGAAATTTGAGAAGATTGAGTGACTGCGTTGTTTATGTACAAATTGTTCGTTGATTTTGAACTCTATGCTGCTTATCATTTCTAAATGCCTTTTTTTGGATGTAGAATTTCGTTACCGTATTTATTACGATGAAATTCAAAAAGATATCTCAAAAATTTATCAGTTTAATAGAACCGTTTTTTAAATTCATTTTTTAAAAAGGTGGGTGTGGATATTCAACACAGAATTTCATAGGGTAGGGCAGCGTTCAAAACTTAATTGAAGTTTACCCTTGCGAAAATATATCATTCAAAGAGTGAAAACTGGTGTCAAGCTTGAAAAGAATTAATCATAATTATTGTAGAGGCTAAAACAGAAGGACTCTTTGGATGATATGAAATATAAAACAGAACTGCATGAAAGTGCCTTATGAGATTGTAATTATTATTTTGCTTATACATATTTACTACGACAATATAAAAGAGTGGTAAATGAACCTGACAGATGTTTTGAAATTCTTCAAATATAGATTTTTGACATTTCAATTCGGTGAAAGATTTCCAATTTTTCTTATCAAATTTTATTGTTCTGAGATTAAATGTCTAAGATTACTGTAGCTTCATTTTGCACTTCAATTCTTCCATTTCTCTGAAAACAATAAAGCACGGATTCCTCGTGAAGGGAATCAAACAATTCTGTCATATGCTTTTCCAAATGCAACTTTTAGCCATTTCCTTTTTTTATCCATTTCTTCGAATTGGTTTCAACAAAGGAAGAGAGTCAGTATCCTTCACATGCATTTTGCACGAACCAACCCGCTCTCCGGCCCGGCGTCGCAATAGCCTGCTGCTACAATTCGAAAGGTAAAACCCAGAGGAAATTAGAGCGCAGTTGGCGGCGTTCGCCGAGCAATCGATGTCCACCACCATTGGCACGCTCGCCAACACCATTGCGCCCAAAGCCAAGGCGGCGGCGACGGCGGCTGCAATGAGGAAGAATAAGAAGAAGCAGGAGAAGCGAAGCTAGCCAAAGCATACTGCTGCTGCTCCTGTTGCCACTGCGTCCTCAACGCCCTCCCCTATATCGCCGGCTGGTCACGGCACGAAATAGCGCGCGGTTCGGCGAGAAGCTGCAACGTCTGGCTCTGACACGGCTACGAGTCTTCAATTTTCAAACGCGGGTTTTTCGCATTTTCGCAAAATGCGCTTCGCGCTGGAAGATTCATCGACGTGACCACTGGTCACTCGCGCTCGCCAAAAAATTCCATGCGCGCCCAATTTTTTGTTTATAGAAATCGCGCTTTTTTTGGTTATTGTAATTATTATTGTTATTATTACTTGGAGCTAGTCCATTCCTCTCTCAATGGTTGCTCATGAATGTTTATTTCACATTTCATACATGTGTATACATATTTTCATATAGCCATTCGAGCGACTTTCAGTAAAAAATATTTATTAATTTGAATCAAATTCATATCGAATTTCAAATTTATTCTGTTCATCGATCCCCGAAACGCCCTAATATACGTGCTTCTACCATTGATGTTCTTCTCAGTAAAAAAAAGCAAACTCGAAAAACGAAATCATTAGCTAAATCAGAAGATAGCTTTAGTATAATTATCGCAAAGAAATATTCTTTGGAGCAGGTCATTGAACAATTCGATACTGACTTATAACCTATCGAAATTGTCGATTCTTTTTTCATTTATGGATATAATTAGTCAGTTTTATTTTCAAAAAAAACTTTCTGCTAATTAAAAAAAAACACAGTTAAACAATTTTCAAGCGCATTAAATATACTGGAGCATGACATTCCAAAGCGACATATTCCCAGTGTATGTTTGAATTTCGAGCAGTGAGCACTTCCTATTGCTCATCAAAGTTCGTGTAATCTGATCATCTAAATTATGAGTCATTAGAGATTATTTACGAAAAATTAAACATTAGGGGAACACTTAATGGAGCAGCGTTGCTCCGAGGAAGCAATTATAGTGCTGTGAGGCACACCGCCCGAAACTGCACTTAATTCTGCGCGATTCAGACAATTTCAAATTCAATTCGTGTTATTTTTTATTTCCCACACGCACACCCGAAATGGACGTGCATTCGTGTGTTGTCCTCCATTCATTCAATTATTTTTCAAAATGTTTTCCGGCTTGCTTTCCCTAGCTGCTACTGGCGCATCTCGCTTCTTCATATTTGACAGTGATAAGCGGCACTTGCGCAATATTTTGCCGATCTCAAGGGTTTTCTGTGCAGGGAGGAGTTTAATGAGTATCTCGATTGAATTGCGCGCAGGATCCATCGACGAGGGTCATATTGTTGACTCAAAAGATTGAGGTCGTGAAACCTTTTTTTGTTTGAAACGCTTCATTCTTCACCAAATTTTTGGGCCACGTGGGTCGGTGCAGGTGCACTCGACGTGCTCCACAAATATATAAACCGTCATCATTTGATGACAATTGATGATCGCAGTGGAGTTCGTTATTGGATTTAATCGCGAGCAGCAGCTACCTTACGCACCACGTTATTCACTGTTTACGAAATATCATAGATATGCAACACCCAATTCTTTAAAAAATTTAAATGTTAGAAAAAAAAAACTCTTCAAATATCTGTTGTGTCATTTTCCATAATTCAATGCTTGTTCGGTTCACCGAAAGCTTTTCATCCGGAATCTTGCACTTTAAGACCCCAACACTTCATTTTAAGGCAGAATACATGTTCAAGAATGACAACAAAAAATAAATTGTATATGACGTATTCGAATTTATTCACATTTTGACGTATTCGACAATTAAGTGAGCAAGATGCGGAGCACCAATTAAACCCAAGAACACTGCCACATTTGTCTTGGTAAACCGGCTCGAATAAAAATTGATCTCGGCATATTCGGCAAAAAACCCAATTTTTAGTCGGCCATGGGCTCCCAATGTGTACATTTTGCATCATCCACCCTTCCTCGTTTAACTTCAAAATATGTTTACTTTGAAAATTCGCTTCGGTGGGCCATAGAACAATGCGTCAAACTGTTGGAACGTAATATTGTTCCAATGAGCGCCGCTAGCAGCACAATCAACACATATATAGTTTAATTAATCATTGTTTGATTGAACTACATATTCATACGTTTTTGTATTCCACAATTTTATTAATATAATTTTTTTGCGGGCCTGCCTTTCAATGTGCAATTCGGTGTGCCATGGGATATTACGCGGGACTGTTTTAAGCAGGATTGTCGCCTCTTAAACCAATTGAAACCCATTACAATTATTGTTTTCCAGAATTCATGGTGTAATTCGATTGCATGGACCCTTGTTCTCGAAAAATGAAAAAACGCGTTAAGCTAAAGTGCAGTTTACACTAGCTGAAATTATATGTTCACTTGGTTCGCTTTTATGAAACTTTGAATACCGTCAATTTTTTTCCATAGGAATTTCACATTTCAACTTATTTACACAGGTGGAGACGGCGTGTTGAATTTCAAATTAATCCGTAATTTGCTTCCCGCGCTTTTAAATTGTGCCCTCGGCTTTTACTCGCGATCATTTTCATATTTGTGTTTCACTTTGTTTGGTTTTTGATCATCATCTCAATTTTCCATGAACGTCGTGAAGCGCGCCTCCCAATAATCAATCGCAAGTTTTCATCCTCAACAAATTTGTAAAAGCCATTATTAAATTATTGGATTCGTTTCCAATTGAACTTCTGACAATTGTGGGCTGAGGACAAATGATTTTTGGTTCTTCGACGTAACACCGCCGATTGATAACAATACCGTATCAGTTACAGTTGAAAAGACAGCCATGTATATTACGGTAGGGTTGCAATTTAAGCGGGCCGTAACACTCTGCCTGAACAGGTTATAGATTAAGAGGAAAGATTTTTGTTACATAAATTAAATATCAACTAATTTTCTTGAATAAAATATATAAAGAAAAATTTCTAATGATTTTCTCAGATATTTTTCAATTTCCTCATATTTGACAATATCCGGAGCTTCGAATTTAATACCATGAGATATAATCACCTACGAAATTGCGAGATCCTTATTTTCTTTGGGTAATACGAAGAAGAATGCAAAAAAATAATGAAAAAAATTTTTGCACAATTCTTGCGAAGGCGTTGATTTTCATTTCTAACATGTTTGAAAACTTAAAGGCTGACCATCCATTGAATTTTTGAAATGCTAAAACTGCTATTTGCATTCTCTTTCTAGAAAAAGAAATAAAACCCAACGTATTTATCATTGTTAACGCTTTGATTAAAATCTTTCAACCGTATATTGAGAAAATTCATGATGAGAAATCCTCTTATTAATATTAGTTTCAAAAAAAAACGAACGTCACAATGACTGTATGAGGCTAGTTTAGACGTGGGTGTCTTTTCCAATAAAAACGAGCACAATTGTTTTCCCTGGGTTCCACCCGTTTGGCCTTTTTACATAATATTCAAAAAAAAATGCCGACATTAGTTTTTTGCATAACCATAAAGGGGGAGGTGGAAACCGTCAACGAATTTTTGTTCCTTTTACGGTCACGGCGGCAAATTTCTTTGAATGTACGGCGCGCCCAACAAAGAGCGCGCTTTTGGCTCCGAAAAAATTGAATCATCGCTGCGAGGCTGATGCAATCCGTCGATCAATGGAACAATGGTCGAGATGAGACTTTCGAATATTGTCGTATTGTATACCATAAGGCGTGGGAGTCTCGAACACATTATCAATTCCATTTGGCCCTTGCTTACAACGTTTTATGTAGGAATCATCATATGCCCGTTACAGTAATCTCAATAGGCAGCAGTAATATAATTGAGTTTAGTAATTGCCCTAATTTTATTCAAACAAGAGAATATTGATGTTGATTGTGTGAAATGACGTTTTGTGCCAAAAACAAATGTTTCCTTTATTTTGTTTTTTTTTCTATTTTTCGAAAAATGCACTCCAATTGTTCTCCGGTTTCGTCCTATTTTGCCAAATGATTTATTTCAACTTTTGCATACGCATATTGGGGTTATTCGTCTGTTACAATCTAAATATGGAAAAATGTATCACAAATGTTTCAAATAATATTGGGCATGTTCAATCATCGTCTAGCGATTCTTATATAAAAGCCTTCTCCAAACCCCCCCCATCTCTCTTTCCTTTGTCTTAATGTGTCCCCTGAACTCAGTAAGAGAGCATGACTATTGCGGAGTGCTCACGTCTGCTCACGGTGCGCGCGGCGCCTCATTCAGGCAACGCCCATCGACCATGCTTAAGATGAAATCGGGTCATTCATATATTTTTTGAAGCATGCGGTTTCGAGCCTCACTTTTCTCATTCTCCCGCGTTCTTCTCTGTCTCATCTATTTTCCGAATCCCAAGCAGAACGTCGACATGAATATTTCAAATTTCAGATAATGCCGGCGGAGACCTCTGGCAAGAATGGGCAAACTACCTCACCGTCTCACGCTTCTGGCAAATTGGGACAAAACACCTCGCCAACGAAGTCGGCCAAATCGGGAAACCATCTAGGTTAGTTCGTCATCAATTTTTGTATACAGGAGGCGGGGGGGGGGCATAGGTATCAACATTTTTCCGCTCGCACGTCTTCAATAGACTTCCTGGGGGGCTGGGTGACAAATGGCATTTCATTGGCGGACAATTCGGAGACACTTGTCCAAAATAATTTCAACATTTCATTTTACCATATTTTGTAAAATCTATATCTCAATTTGCATGCTCTTAACAGCAAAGTGGTTGAAGAGAAGGGTTTTTTGCCTGAGGATCGTAATTTTTCATAATGTCAGTGGCGAACACGTGCGCATAGCCCATCTGTTGCAGAGTAGAGTACATCTGTGAATTGTAAAATCGTCAGCATGCGCGAATTTCGCTCATCGCTTCAACTTTCAATTTTTGTATAATGTTTTAAAGTTGTTAGGTTGCTCATCAACTTCTAATAATAAACCTTCACCTACCTCAGTATTTTTTTCTAGCAGAAAACCGATCATCGCTTCATTAAATAATTATATTTGATGAGGAGGACATGTGATCTTTTAATTATACGTATTTAATTTAGATAGTTTTCCTTTTCTTTTCTCTCGGCCATACAAAAAAGTGCTCCACGTGGTGCAACTATCATTTCGTCAATGAACACAAAAATTAGCTTAGTAAAAGTGCAAATAAAAATATGCAGTGTTTGTTTTAGCGAAACAACATGACGAAATGATTGTTAGTCTAAAAATTGTACGGCCAAAATTTTTTTGGGCACCGTTGCTTCGGACGCGAGTTACACAGTTTCGGAAATTATTAAGTAGTCGCGCGTGGTTTTCGAGAAATTGCTGTATAAACATGAAAATGGTAGATAAAATTTTCTTAGAATGTGAAAAATGATATAGCGCTATGCAAAAAAGCTCAAATATTCTGCGAAAAAATATTTAAATAATCCAGGTTTTTTGAAGGCTACAGTACTACAGTTGCTATTGAACTGCTTCAATGATCAAGAAATGATTATCGTATGCGCCTTCAACCGGAATATAAAAAAACTTTAAAAAACTAAATTGCTGAAAAATTTTACGGTTGAAAGTGCATATAATTTTTAAGAATAGTATTTTTAGGATTTTTTATTTTTTCTACGAGTCTCTATATTTTCCCCATTTATTATTATTTAACATTTAATGGATAGGCAGGTGAAAAAAAATTTTTTCTTATTTCTGTCATGCCCGAAGATGTATTATTTAGTACTGAAAGTGTTGTGGCTTAAGCGTAGTCATTTCAAGATCACATTATCATTTAATCGTAGTAGTTATCAAGGGATCATTTAATTGCTATCCTTCCTTCTAAATTAGTCATTAAAAAAGTAATGTTAGTATATAGAATTTAAAAAGCAACACTCTAAAAGTCTATATAGAGATTGCGAAGAAAGCTAGCTTAAATCGATTTTCTGAGTTTTATTTCTCCAAAATCTGCGAGGTACCATAATTCTCTCAAAGTTGTCTTTGAACAAAACAACAAAAGTAATTTTTGGATAGTACCAATTTTTAAATGTACTTGGTTCTTTGGGAGTTGGAGACAATGCTACAGTAGATAAAACGCCATAAGAAAGTTGTAGACTACATTTCACTCATTTGAGGACAACGTCGTCGGTGAACGATAAGATATTCGACTTGAACCTTTGATCGTTTAAAGAAGAGAAGGCGCCACGAGAATTCTCTTAAGTACTGATAATTTGGCGGAGTCGCCTATCACCTTGGATTAAACAATTTTAATCGCGATTTTGATGAATTATTCTCGCATTTCGATTTCATTCAAAAAAAAAGCGCCGCTAAATATGTCGAATTAGTCGGTCGCTACTCGATTTTGGGTGGGTGGAGACGAAATTTGCGATATGCCGAAAAATTGCAACGCTATCAGTAATTATGATAAAAACCGTTCTGAATCTGTCTATTGCAATCTCAATGGTCATATTAAACGATTTCAAACACCATTTTTTCTCCCCCGTTATCACACCATGTATCCTGATTTCATTTTTTTAGTCTCTATTGAAAAATGAGGTGTTGCGTTCTTCTGATAGTGATATATTGATGCAAATTTATCAAACATTTTTGTAACAAATTGATTGTAACAAAGAAATCGCTTTGTATGATGAACTGCACTATTCGATAATTTCGCCCGCTAAACAATTTTTTGATAAGGCGTTAAGGAACTTAGTGGTTGAATTAGTCTTAACGAACACGTGACAAGATAGCCAAAGTTTCCGCAAAACTGATATTGTCTCAGCATCTATACCTAAGATTGCAATATTTGGTGGTTTGGTTTATCAAAACGATTCATCAGTTTGCGTCGGTAGCTCAGGCAGGAGGTTATCAGCTAGTGACCAAAACCCACTCATTTTCAAATCCCAAATTGATACGACTTTTCAATTTCAATTGAAAACGCGTGCCAACGCAAAATGATAACGGTGGCTTCGGAGTTTGCACTCTGGAATGCTTAATTATTCTTTGCATCGTATAAATGTTCGAAGTGTCTCTCGGTTTAATGAGTGACACCTCGCGGTTTTTAATGAGGCTTGGAAGCCGCGAAATGACACGATAATGTCAGTTTGGACATCATAATCTTCGTTTAATCGCTGGAATAATTGATGTTCAAAACTCTCCTCAAATTTTAGTCACATAATATTTCATTTTTCATTTCCTATAGATCTCGTAATTGGGTTTTTGAAGTTAAAAGTGAAAAATGTGAAAAAGGAATTTTCAAAAAAATTTAATAATTTTGCATTTTTTCCATTTTTCACAACAGAATCATTTCACAAATAAAATTTAAAAAATTGATATTTAGCTTTTTCGTAGAACATTTAGTTTAACTCTTCTTTTAATTAAAACCAGTGGTATTGGTTTATTTTGGCTCACACAATTTTAGGTTTAACCAACAAAAAATTTTAAGGCGCTGTTTGATGTTAAAAATAATGCCAATATATTCTCATGATTTAAGCCCACAATTTACACCCAATCGGCTTAAAATAGGTGTTGATAATACAAGAGTCTTAAATCATTTTAAACGCCGATCATTTCCATTTGTACATTTGTAAGCGAGTACGTCGTCGCCGCCACTGTTGCCATCACCTTTCCATTCATTCATCAAAATTTTTGTTTTATAAAACCGAAAGGTGACAACAATATCACTGGAAAACATTCAACCCGCAAAAAAAATAAGCACCAAAAATTTGAGAGAAACGCGTCGCTTGAGCTTTTTATTGATCCATTATTTTTTTTAGTATTCGGCGTCTTTTGAAGCCAACAAACCCTGCGAATATCGTTCCGAACATTATTCCGCAATAAGACCACCATTCCAATGTTTGAAACCTCCCCTTATTTTATCAGTTCATGAAAATGTGGTTGTAAAACTGGCAAAAAGGGTGTGATGGCGGTGAGATTACAGGCATTTTTGCATTCACTCGATTTCTTGGTCTTACCCAATTAACTCATTCATATCGTCATTCATATCCCTTTGTGATACAAAAAAAGACGGAGAGACATAAAATGGTTGACGAAATTCAATATCATTTGCCAGTGATGATCTCGCCTCCCCCCTCGCCTCACTGATGAATCGCTGTTCAATTGTCTCAAGCTTTTTGTTTTGTCACTGTGGATGATCGATGAATGAGAATATCTCATTTTAGGCGATCCATATTCGGGCGAAGAGGACGTCGCTTCTTTGGACGGCAGCCAACTCACTAACGAATTTTCATCTCAACTGTCTATCAATATGGGCGCACAAGGTTCATTTTTCAATCATTTTTTTTGTTGAACATCGTTTTGCCATTGTCGATCAAACATTATACTAATCAATCATTATGGAAAATTTCTGCATGACAGCAACTTTTTGGAAACAAATTTCAGCTTCGAAAACCTTTTAAAAATGGTTTACAAAAAAACTGTAAACCATCGAAAAGATGTTTGAAGTGAATTAATGATGTTAGTCTTTTGGTAAAGGAAGTACACTGTTCTTCTCGCTGTCGGAAGATATGAAGATAACACAATTTGCACTCAAATTGCTTTTAAACCATCTTCCCTTATTTATATACAATTTCAGCTGCGGAGGAATTTGTTACGTTCGCTCCTGATGGTGGCTATGGATGGATTATCGTGTTCGCGGCGTTCATGTCGAACTTCGTCGTTGATGGTATCTCCACAGCGTTCTCGGAATTTAAAAAGTCATACAAATCTCACTTTGGCGCTTCGGATGCTGCCACCTCTCTTATCGGATCTCTTATCATCGGAACTTATCTGCTCGTTGGTTAGTTTCCTGAATCATTAAGCATTACATCATTGCCGGTTCGAATTCAGGCCCAATCGTCGGCGGACTTACTAACAAGTATGGCGCTCGAGTCGTCGTTATCATTGGCGCTGTGCTCTGCGGAACCGCTTTCTTGATTTGCGTTGCTGCTCCAAACATCTACGTTTTCATGATTCTCTATGGTGTCATGGGAGGTGCTGGATTCGGAATGATCTACCTTCCGGCAATCGTCGTGGTTGGATTCTACTTTGAGTCGAAACGCGCTATGGCTACTGGTATCTCGGTTGCTGGTTCAGGTGTCGGAACATTCGTCATGCCGATCATTTGCCAATACTGCGTTAACAGTAGGAGTCACACCTGGTCATTCAGCTCAATTTTTGATTGTAGACTTCGGATGGCAACACACCCTCTGGATTCTTGCCGGTTTCAACTTTGCATGCGCATTGTTTGGAATCCTTTACAAGCCGCTTCCCATGATTAACGTGAACGAGCTCCGTGAACAAGAAATGCAACCACTGAAACAAGCGTTGTCGAAGATGTCTGATGGAGAGGAAGATGGTGTTGAAAGCCCGAACGCGATTCGCTCGACATCCGCCGCCAGCGGTCACAACAACGATGGTAATTATTCAATCATTTTTGAAATAAATTTGTTAAAATTAAATTATTCAGATGATCCATCGCATGACCCAGCACTTCAGCGTCTTCGCAACCACGATAACGATGGAACCGACTCTCAAGGAACCAAATCACCGGATGGCAAGAACCGCGGGCACAGCAGTGCTCAACAACGATCCCGCAAGCACACCTTGACCAGCATGGGATCCGAGATGACCTCACAACATGATTTGAAATCATCTAGAGGAAATCTTGCCGATAATCGCCTCAGCAAGGTGTCGGCTAGAAGCTTCGCGCAATCATTGAGCAAATTGGGAAAGGCTGGAGAATCCAACTTGAGCATCGCTTTGAGCGTAAGCCAATCGATTGCCAACGATTTATGGAATGTATTTTTTATAGGGAGTTGATCCACAGGAGTTTAATCGCCCATTGAACCGTCAGGATATTTTCTACGGAGGATCCATTACTAACTTAAAGGAATATAAACAGGAAGGAAATATGGCAAACTTCAGAGCTTCAACAATGTCAATTCCAAAAAGTGTTATTGGACAAGCTGCCTCTCACATGAGCTTGAATCGTGCTGGTAAATTGCAGCTCTCATATCATTGCCTCATGTAATTCCATTCAGGTAGCCGCCTTGGAGACGTCGGAGTTATTGAGGAAGAGCCAGAGCTCGATGAATACGCCGACGATTTGCCATGCAAGTGCCTTCCACTAGCCGCTCGCATCGCGTTCTCCGAAATGATCGATGTCTCACTTCTCAAGGACCCAATCATGTTGCTTCTCTGCGTTTCGAACCTTCTTGGAATGATGGGATTCTACATTCCGTTCATGTTCCTTAAAGATCTCTCTGAATCGATGAAACTTGATCAAGATCTCGCAAAATACCTTGTTCCAATAATTGGAATCACCAACACCGTTGGCAGGATTTTCTTCGGATGGGTGGCTGACAAAAAATACATGACTGCTCTCAACATCAACAATCTCTCATTGATTATCTGTGGTGTGCTCACAATGGTGTGCCCACTTCTCCGCACCTTCCCTGGACAGCTCTTCTACGCCTTCTTCTTCGGATTCATCATCTGTGAGGATCATGTCGTATCTCATTCAGTATTTGATTTTCATTTCTTTCAGCGGCCTACATTTGCTTGACTTCCATTGTCTTGGCTGATCTCATGGGACTTGATAAGCTCACAAACTCCTTCGGACTTCTCGTCGTTGCTCGTGGTATTGCTGCGTTGGCTGGAAGCCCGTTCGCCGGACTCGTCTATGATATCACGAAATCATATGATGCCGCCTTCTACTTTGGTGGTGCTGTCATTCTTATTGCTGGAATCATCTCAGCAATTATCCCATTCATTCTCAAGAGAAAGAATTCGGAAGAAGGTACGTGAAGTTTTCGATTAATACTTGAAACATTCATCGAATATGGTAAGACCTAATAGCGATTTTAGACGATGAGCTAGCAAAACTGCCTGACCAAGATAACATGTCCGGCAAATTGTCGGTTCTCACTGAACGGTCTGAGGAAAACCTCACCGAATATCAGCGTACTATTCAGTCGCTAAGACAGCAACATCAGTTGCTTCAAGGTGAACGCATCGAATAGATGGCGTGGTGTGATTTGTACAAATTTTTGTTGGTGTGCATGATTAGACAGCAACAATTAGTTATTGTCACAGATTGTTGTGATTGTGAAATAAATGAATACATATAACATTTCAAAGAAATTCCAACAACATATTTGATTTTGAGTATCCTATGTTGAAATAAATCATCGATTTCTCCCAACAATATCAATTTCTTGCAGACCTCGAGGAGGAAAAACGCAAGCAGATCCAGAACGGTGTCGTCGAAGAAGTTGACGAGACCGATGAGACGGTCCCACTCAAGGCCATCAAGGCTTAAACGTTCTCATAAATCATTGCTAATTGTTGTCTCTTTTCGTTTGTTTTTTTATTAAACAACTCTTTATTGGTTTTTAAGGCAAAGATTGAATTTTGCCACATTATTCCCAGGCTTTGCAATTCAAATCATCGTTAATCACCAAATTGCATTCCATGTTCGGCGTTTAGCATTCAACTGTTTTTTTTTCTTTGATTGTAATATCTTCTGTGGTTTTGTCATTCTTAGGCAATCAGTTCTTTGAAATAATTGTTCCTGTTCGTTGTGCGTTTGGTCTTCTCATAATTCATTTCCACTTCCATATATATATAATTGTTGGATTCTACCGAATGTTGCTCTTCTCTCTGTCCTATTGTTTTCATTTTATCATACTTTGTCTCATCATCCCGTTGTTGTGAAATTATTTCACCTAGTGAATTTCAAGATGTAGCCGATTTCCGTGTTTTTTTTTCGCTTATTAGCTTATCCACCTAGCTGACTATCGTTTAATTTGAACGTTAATTGTGCGAGTGAATGGCTGTGATTAATAAATGGACTTTTCCAAACCGCTTCTAATTGATGATCCGAAATGTTATTTTTTGGGCTTCCGTGATGCCTGAAAACTGAAAAAAATAACAAAGTTTATTGCTTTTCACGAGGATTTCACTATTCATTGCAATAATTCCTTCGAAAATGTTGCACCTTTACATTAAAATAGAATAATAGGACGATTTCTCTCATATTAACTCACTTCCTAATCATTTTTTTCTCACTATCGATATCTCTCAAAAATTCTCGAAATTTTTTCGTAATCACTAGCTCACTGATGAGAGAAAAGACCATTAAATGGTGTGAGAAATGTAGAACAATTTCATTCCTCATTCATCATTTCCGATATGAATTGTCGACCGTATCAATATCACACCGCATTATCACTTTTCTTCTCAAAAACTTGGGGGCGCAAAATTCGACGCGATTCATCTCATCCGTCCCCGTTTTCCCATGTATATATATATATTTAGAATCGGCGGCGTAAAGATAAACAGTTCGAAAATCCCCCCTCCTCCCTCTCTCTCCACCCACGAAAAGGCTGCTTAATTTGCAATGTGTGATTCAAGGGGAATGAAGAAGGCCGCAAAAAAAAAGATAAAGAAGGAAGAAACGAGGTTCGAAAAATATTTGTAAATGGATGAGAGAAATTGAGAAACGTGTGTCGAAATACCGGTCTGTCGCCGTCGACTGCTGATGCTGATTCCGATTTTGATTCGGCAATAACACATACACATATCCATCTCTGTGCCTCCTCTCATTATCAAATGACTCTATTGATTTTCAATTACTGATTTCTGCATGCAATTGCATACATTATCGATCTCATGAAGGAACGTGTGGAGCTGAACACCAATGGGCGATCCATCGAATCTCACTGCAAGTCATATTATAAAAAGAAGGTATAACACTTAAATGAAATTTGCGAGAGATAGCAATTGGAACACTTGTTTTGATATCATCTGTTTTGCCATCACATTTTGCTGTCCGAAGTTTTTTTTGGCATTTCACAGTCACGCATCCTTACATATATTATCATATATCAACGCCGTTCGAATTTGTGTTATTAATTGCTATCATTAATGTGCCTTATCAACTGAACGCGCCAAATTTATGTTTGGCCATTAAAAAAATTTACGGGCATTTCTCTCATTTTGCACACCTTTCATTTCATCTTTTCAGTGGGAGTCGAGATACATCGTCTGTAAGATCCAGTCGGACTTAGAGGACCCATTGTTCAATATTTATAAAACTAGAAAAGATAGGCAAAAGGATAAAGTCAAACAATCAATTGTGCTGAAAAACTATGTTGGATACGAGAGAAGTAAGTAAAGCTTTTCCCAAATAAAATTTACCTAAATTTTTTAGGTTTTACGCTTAAAGGAAAAAGTCAAACCCTTGCTATTATCACAAAGGATTACAACCTTATTTTGTCATTTCAACTACCGGAAACCCTTCTACAATGGGAAACATGGCTCAGAAATGTGGCTGGACAAAGTAAGATTTTTACTTTTCAAAATTAAGCCGAAGATATTTGTTTCAGGTACAATTCATTATATGCAATTGCTGACATTCCCCAACTATCAGGAGAATCTTACATACACAAAAAAGGAGGTTCGATGCCATTTACATGCAAGTATTTTCATTTTACTGCTTGAAAAGAAATTTATAAATTTCAGGACGGAAGGCTTGCTTTAGTTCATGGCACGCCTGTCGAAATTATTTTGTATTGTGAAGTTAATGCAGCTCTCATTGAAACGGACCAGATCGGTCACAAAGTCAAAATACGGAATCATCCTTTGAACGAGAAAGACGAGGAGTTTGTATTATCTTGTCCAGCAATTGAAAAGTTTGCGAAATATCTGGAAAAGGCGAACAATGACGTATCCCCACATCACATTGTTTTCGTCAAACTAATTGAATTAATTTCAGAATGAAACATTGACCGACTATCTCAACAAAAAATCAGCAGATGGCATATGGCTTCAAAACGTGAAATTCTCGCTGGAAATCATTAAAGACCATGTTTTGTTTTAATTTTAGATTAGAAAACCTCAAAAAGCGCATGACACGATTTCGCATTGGTCTGATACTAGTGGAATGTTTAACTTCATGAATCATCCCTCCACGTCGACAAATCATAGTGAAATATTTTCATCAAGGTGAGTAAAAGTTACACATTGATAAGAAACACTTCGATGTATTGATATGAGATATACATAGGTTGGCGGTTAACCAGTTAGGAAGTTGGAATCCACTGAAAGGTGCACTCGGAAGCCAGCAGATTAAAACTGACTCGATTGTTGAAAACAGTGAGGAGCCGAACAACTATGTGAACACTTCAACGTAAATTATCAGATCTTTGTGGTGACATGTGAACTATTTAGATTCGATTCACCGGATAATGACGTTAAAATGCGAAGCGCGAGTTTGCCTGAGTATGTCAACATTCAACACGCCGTCAAACCACCGCCACTTCTTCCAAAACCCGAAAAATGTAGAAATCTTGAAAACCATTTCCCGAAATAATAAAAATATATGTACTTATAGATCGACAAGACGTTATTCAAAGAAAGGCGAGCAATGTTACAACACCGATAAACGAAGATCGGAGGCTATCAAACAATTCGGATAAGCGAAACTTCCATAATTCGAACTCATTGTAGCATATGACTTGAAGAAGCCCAAACAAATTTATTTTTAAGAAAGGGAGTTTCAATGATGGACTTTTCTTCATTGCCATATGACGAGCCAGAAACTCGTATTGAAAGTTGGAGAAGAGCAAAAAAGTTTATATCGGCGTTCAGTCCGAAATCGCAGCAAGATATCAATCGATCTGGAAGGGTATGAATCATGCAAGTTTCGAAAAAAAATTATAATAAATTGCTTACAGAATAGTAAACGGATTAAGAAATCATCAAGTACTAGCGCATTGCAGTACGATCTAGATAGATCCAATGTTGAATCATCTCCTACAAATGATAAATATGCAATGAGTTTCCAGAGAACCAAATCATGTGCGCCATCGGAAAGGTCACTTTCACGTCAGGAGAATTTCTTGGTAAATATGTGCTTTTATCAATGACACCAACTCATCGAGACCCGTTTAGTATCAGAAAGAAAACATCCTGAACTCTTCCATGAGTGAGCTGGACGAACCGCCAAGCTTGAACGTAGCCATGGCAAGTACAACACAACCAGTATCTGATAAGACGGTAATAATTTGTTCGCAATTTTTCGAAGGATATGTGATTCCCACATGGTCATTGCTATTTTAGGCTATTATTCCGTTTTTTAAATGACTTATCAACTAATTTGTTTCGACAACTATTCTGTTGTGAGTAAAATTAGAAGATAAGTATTGCAATTAAATGGGAATTTTTTTGTAATTTCAATTAATCAGTGTTGCAATTATATATCGTACTCCGAATTCCAGATTTGACTACAGAATCAATTGATTTTGTTTTAGAATGATGATGAACCTCCAACGGGATTAGTGCGTTTACGAGAGGAAACACCATTGAAAGCACGTGGCGGCGTAAATATTGCTTTAGCTCGACGATTAGCTACCGGAATTCAAGGATCATTTTCGGTTTTGCCAAAAAAAAAAACAAGTTTTTGACACGATCAGGTGTTTTATAGAAGTATGATGGAGAAAAAAGCACTCACGTATATCAACAGAATCCAGGAAGTGTGGTGAATGAATTGAAAAGAATGATGGCAAAAATTGAACCGGAGAAGAAAAAAGTGCCGACCGATGGTAGGAATGGAATAGATGGTAGAAGAGGAAATTGAATGTCATATATTACAGCTATCGAGGACGCAATATCACGAGAACAAGATAAAATCAAACAGAGTGAACGCCGGGCCTCATCGATATCATTTCAAAAGGTAGAGTATTTTTATTAAAAAGAAGCGGCTAAATGCTGCCTATTAAAGGTATTGCTGAAAATGAGCTGATATATGTGGCGACTTATTTTTTTAAAGGCGTTTTTTAACTGACTATACATTCAAGAACGAAATACTTAATCTATTAATTTTAGAATAACATATTGCATCTACCCCACTTATTGGAAATCAATAAAAAGACCTCACCGAATCCCGATTATGCGGATCACCCACCGTATCAAGCACTCTTTTGTTTCTCATTATCATTAAAACGATTCAGTATCAAACCTGCTCCAGAAACAATATCAAATATTCGCGCCAAAATTGCATTGAGAAATAGCCGAAGTGATTCTCCACCATTGGACATTGCGCCAACAATTTCTTCTAAAATTCCTGTCCAAAACACCTTAAGGGTAACTTGCTCCATATTTTCCATGTTTGGCTTATAAGTTGAATTACTACAGCTAAAAAAGTTGAGTGTTTCGTCAGTGGAGTCTTTGAGTTCGCCACCAACTGAGAAGCCAATAATTCTGCCGTCGCGAATTGTTGTCAATGACTCATCGAGCTCAGAAAACAGTGAGAGTAGTTGATTTCGAATCATTGTGACAGCACCTATATTTAGGCAGCGAAGAGAGTCCCGGTGCCATAAATTTTAAGGTGATGACCGACGAGCCGTCACTCTCATCAAGTCGAATGTCTTTGCGTCGAACGTCAGAGGTTAGATAAGACATTCAAACAAATATTTAATTGGATTCGTTTGGCGCTTCAGGAGCAAGCAAGCATCAGTTCTGATCTCTTAGCAGCGCAACTTGCAAAAAAGCGATATTTTATAAAAAATAATAAATCGAGACGCGGAAATTCGTCGGATTATATGGAACATTGAAACGGGTTAATATTCCTTCTTTTCGGGTATCTTTTACATTTTTCTTGACATTCTTTGAAGTGATCTTACTAAATGAATCTGCAATAAATATTTATATTATTATTAAATTATATGAGAAAACAAAATAGCAACCGGAAAAATAAAATGGAATCGTAATTATTTATACAAGCGGACAAGAGGGCGAATGAAGCGTTCAAACTTGTGCAGTTGTTTGCACAATCCACGCTTGAATTCGCGATTGAACACGGTGTAGATGACCGGATTAATTCCAGAATTGCCTGAAATAATTACATTGATGCATTAAGAATCAATTATTGAATTGCTAACAGTATCCGAGCCAGAAGAAAAACTTGAAGAAAAGTGGTGGAGCCTCATAACCAAAAGCTCCAATAACGTACATAAGCTGTAATTTTTGATAATGATTCGAATATTTTTTGAAACGTTTTCTTACGAAGAATGGAAGCCAACTGAGAATGAACGCTGACAATATGATTCCTAAGAGAAGAGTTGCCTGACGCTCTTTCGCCTTCAACTTGCGACGTCGCTTCTCGCTGTGAGCCGTTTCTTCGGCTCGAGCCTTGGCCTGATCAATTGAGCCGCTGTGATTCGTGTCCAGGGAGACCTGTAAGAGCAATTTCAAACTATATACTATTAAAATGGTACGTTTACCTTGACAGCTCTTACAGGGAGCTCTTCGGAAAGTTTGCGCAGTTGCCAGCTGACCTTGTTAATCGCTTCTCGTGCCGGTTTCTCATCGTCCGCCGGATCGGAATTATCCTCAATCTCGTACTCCATGTTGTAATGCTCTGAAAATTTCAGATTGTGCTCGAACAACGAGAAAATTTGTACTATTCTTGTCGGTTTTCACTGTCAACATGTTCAACGTCTGATCGCGACGCTCAGTTTCCTTCAGACGCTGCCTGCTGTGCCGAATGGTGATGCTATAGATTTTTGCGTAGACAATAATGAGAATGACCACCGGAATGTAGAATGAGCCGAGCGATGAATAGAGGACATATCCTGAAAAATAAAAATTCTTCAGTATTGGCGTGGAAAAATTAGTAAATTGGTACTCAACATAGAAATATTCAATTTATATTTAAATCCTATTTGTTGATTAAAAATTCAACATCTGGTTACCTATGTCGGTGCTCACTGAACATTCGCCATCGCGTCTTTCCGGTCGCCATCCAAAAATTGGAGGAAGGCAAATTAGCAAAGAAAGAATCCATGAAACACCTGAAAACAATTGAAAAAAATGAAATGCATGTTATTTGCATGAATTCTGACTCACCAATATAAATAAACATTTTCTTGGGTGTTCTTGTTGATGGATAGGTCAATGGTGATGTAACCGAAAAATAGCGATCAAGCGAGATTGCGCAAATGTGAAGAATTGAGGCGGTCACAAAGAGAACATCGAGAGCAAGCCAAATTTCGCAAAGAACAATTCCTTAAGAGATGACGTTGGAGGATCATTGGCGAATGTCTAAAAAGATACCCATAGTCCATTCGCCGACAATTTCATATGTCAAGGTGAGAGGCATAACGAGGAGACCAACAAGCATATCAGCCACCGCGAGGCTCACGATTAACCAATTCTGACGTTGCATTCGAAGCTTTCGATTGCGATACACCGTAACGACAACGAGCAGATTGCCGAAAATGATAATCTGGAATTGATTGAATGAATAATGTCGACCGGGCGGAATTAATTAAAGTGGAAATTCAAAACTTCCTTGTTATTCCAATTAGCACAAGGAACTGGGCTCATTCATTATTGAAATGCGGTGCCGGAAATTTGAGGAGTGCATTCGTCACAATTTCCGAGTCTTTTGAGAAAGAAACAAACATAAATGAAAAGAAACAAACGTGAAAAAGAATCGTTGGTTTTAATTAAGGGAATGTTTCTCGTCACCGTGCAACTGGCGAAATCAAACAAAAAACGAACTTGTGTATTATTAATGATGAAGCACTATTTTTGGTTGTAACAACTTTTTGAGTTAGCTTTCGTCTAAATTGCGCCATTGAACAAGCGAGAGGAGCCATTTTTTTTTTCAAAGTATGTGACGCATATGACAAAGAAAATGAAACTAGTTTCAAATAAGCAAATTCGTTAAAAACCGCAAACCCAAATTTCCAGAGAAGTTGAACTTGAATAATATTTAAAACTTTTAGAATAATTTCACTTACCAGCATAACAGTAAGCATTGATGAGATGGTCAAAGCCGCTTCTCCCAGATTGAGACAAGCGACTTTGGTGTCGCCTTCACTACACGTCACGTTAAGCATTGTGAAGCTATTGCATTCAGATCTGAAAGAAATCGCGAATGTATTTGATGCTCCTCCCAACACCGACAAATAAAAAACGATGCCATCTTTAAGAAAAAGTGCCCCCGTTTGAGAAGCGACATGGAAGGCGGACGAAAATGTGGGCGGAGCCAAGGTTTGAATCAAGCTTGCCCTTCATGCCTATTCATACGCCGAGAGTATGACTAATTAGTAAGATAGTTTGCGGAAAAAACTTCCTTAGAGTAATTTTACTTCATAAACATAAAAAGATGGATACGAAAAACGGCCATCAACGAAAATGGCATGACATGAAGAAAATACTGGCTGGTTCTCATCAATTATGTAATTAGATATGAACCGTTCAATAATTCATTTCATAAAGAAACCACAAAATGACGAAAATGTCAATTAACTATATACATTTGCCATTTTATCAAGAAACAATTCAATTAAAAAAAATCATGAACAGAAAGAAATAAATAAGTTGTCATTTTTTTTAAATGAATAAAAGTAATGTTTAAAATGACGCCTGAAATTGTTTTCTAGGCGGTTGGCGTCACCATGTGTCATTATTGTTCGCTATCATTTACAGTTGTGTCTTATAAGAAAATGACAATGATAGGGTGATTTCGAAAAGTGCTTGCTTTTAGGGCTTCGCGGTGTCTGGGGGATTAAACTAACAGCTCATTTTGAAAAAAAGGCAGCAATTAATAACAAATGTTACAGTATGACAAGGGGTGCGAGAACTGTGATCGACATTTAACATCATAATCGAAGTGAAAGCAAGCTTGAATATTTGGTCCACATGTGCGTGCCAAATGCAAAGTGTGTTTGATGCGTATTCCTACTGTCGATTTAAGAAATCAAATAAAAAATGCGCATTTTATGGTTTGTGAATACCTCTGTTATATGATAATATTGAATTGGGAATTGGATAAAAAAATTGTGAATTGAATTTCGGAAGAAAACTCCTTCATTGAGGGACCTATGAATAACACAACTCTATCGGATTTTAATCAACTTAAAAAATAATTTTTTCAAAGGTGAAAATTTCAGTTTGAAATTTGAAAATTCTAAAAAAAATGAGGAAAGAGAAATTAGTCATATATGGATCAAGATTTTTTCAAAAATTGATATTTCCAATGTGAAAAGTGTCAGAATTGCTCTAGAGTGACGTTAAAAAAATTTCGAGGTTGCTTTTCAATCGTGATATCTGCATATTTTCTAAATATGTTCTTGTTCGATGAACTGGGAACATCTCAAGGGAATACTTTTTCAGACACCTTAGTTTTTTGGTCAAGACACAAAAAAATAACATTTGAGGAAAAAATTCTACGTGGTATTGTTTATTTTGAAGCGAAGTGTTCGGAAATCCGAAACGCTTTCAGCCGTGGAGTGTAAAGTAGAGAACACCAACTGGTTATAGCTTCTTAAGACTTTTGGAGTAATGTCTGTAAGATTGTCCGCAGCTAGATTTTCAAAAATTAATAAACAAACAAGAATTCAATAAATGAAATTGTGTCTTCACGCTAATTTGTTTTTGCTCATTATTTTTTAAATTAAAAAAAGGAAGTTTTGAAGTTTATTTGATTCACACGCTTGATCATGAGGGAAAATTATTAAGAAGCAATTAAAAAGAAGAAAAAAAACTCATATTTTTTTTTTGAATGACAATCATGTGAGCACATATATATGCATTCAAATAAGAAAAAAAAATAATGAATGGGAGTTGATCAAAAACCCCCTCATATGGTTTCCTGTGTTGTTTCTCGCCGCTGTTCGCATTTGCAACAAAGACACTTTTTTTTATTGTTTTTAATTTAGTTATCTATCCTGCCATCTCTTGTGTTGCCTAACTAACTGCTTGCCAATCCAATTAGAGGAAGATAAAATAATAATCGAGAAACAAGCCAATTAAATTTTTGCATAATGGACAAGAGTTCTGATATGAAAAAAGTTGGACGCTTCAAATTTTGGATTTTGGAACGCTGGTGAGAATTCTTAACGTTTTCGCGTCACGGCAGCATACGCCAAATTTAACCATTCATACTTAAAACGTGATGAAGCTTGGCTAATCTTACTTAATCATCTTGGGAATGATGAAATGAGATGGAAAACAAATGGCGGCAAATATCAAGAATCTATTCATTTTAACGGTTCGTCACGTATTACTCAAAAAAAAATATTATGTGTTGACGTTTGGCGACCGAAATTTGATCGAACCTTTTAAAGGAAATTCGTTTTGTCTACTATTATTCTTTATTTGGTTTTCTTGGCATCGCTAAAATGAGCCGGCCCCACCAGCAGACCGAGCATGAAATATTCATATTTGAAAATCCTTCTACCTTTTAACTTCCAAATCTCTCCACTAATGTCAATTTTTAGCAATGAATCACAAATTTCAGAAAACCAAATTCAGAAAAAATCGGGAAAGACGATGAAAATAAAATGCTGCCAGTGAAGTTTGTAATCAAAACCTGGACAATAATTCATTAGTATTCCAAACCCCAGAAAAAAAAATGAGTTGCTTTCTAATTTGGACAGAAAAAATAATTAGGAAGGCAAAACAAAAAAAAAAACGAAGATGGCTAAGCTAGCCGAAAAAAATGAGTATGTTATTTTTCTTACTTCATCCATTTCGGCGGTGCCGCTCAATTTTCAATATTCAGGAATAACGCTTCAAATTAAAACAAAAAAAATTTTGTTTATTTCTGGTTAATTTTACGCTAATTATCATCTCAAGAGGTGGCCGGCCGGCAGCGAAAAAAATACTTCCGCAAAATTGGGACACTCGACGCCTCGGGCGGAATGCAACCGAAATTTTTTGATCCGGATTTAACGAGTTTTGTGATTGCCGCATTCGTCACTTGAATCGTTTTGCACAAAAAACACACGCATAGAAATAGGAGCAGATGAAATAAATGGCAAAGAACAAATATTGAAAAATTCAAGAGCAAGTGGATAAATGTTACAAATCCGAAATTCGGAAAAAAAATGTCTAGAATTGTTACAGTCTCAATATTTTTCCGAAAAAAAAATGCTGGCTGGGAAGAATGACCAAAAATATATTATTATAAATGATTGGGGAATCTGAAAATTGAAATAGAAAGCAATTTGGGACCTCGAAACAAAGCAAAGGCTGTCAGCAAGGTATTCCAGGGTGATAGACTATATTTTATTTCTGAAGTACTAGGTGAACTAAAATCAATATGTGAAAAACGTGCATCAATTTTTGGTACACGCTTAGATTAATCTGAAAGGGGGGGGAGGGGAGGGTCGCCGATAAATCCAAAAAAGGGGATTCTCCCAAAATATTCCACTTACTTGATCTGAAAAAAATAGACTACTAATGTGTATATTTGCTCTTCAAAATGTTGATGTGGAAAAAATAGTGAAAAACAATGGATACCAACTGATTCTCATTCACAATTGGCCCATCTCTCATGCAGATTTTCAAGACTGGCCGCAAGAAAAAAAAAAGAATGTGGCAAACAAGCAATTTTTAGAAACAAAAAAAAATCGCCGCGAGAAGAGGGATGACTACCGAAATCTATTCGTTTATTGTTGAATTCTCAAGCGTGTGAATTGCGCGCAATATTAAGATTAGTATACTGGCTAATAGTGCGTGGGTTTAAACATAATTGATTCTTGGTTACTGAGAAGGCCATCTCACTCACTATTCTATTTTTTCTTCTCAAAAGAGCTTGGAGAGTTTGCCGTAAGATATGCGAAATTCAGGCATCTGCTATTGACATACGTGTGGCGGCGAATTCTTAAGCGAATATCAACGTAAAAGGGAAAAAAATACACACATAGTGGCGCAATTTGAAGAAAAAAAAAAGTCGCGGCAAAAGGTGACAGCTTCGAATTTTTGTTTTAGCGCGCGCAAAAAAAAACTTGTGCTTGATGAAGATCACCAGACAGCAGTGTCAAGACATTGGGCATTTCGAGAATGATGAAGGTTCTCGATCAGAATTACAAATGAATGAAGAACATAGTATTTTAATGGAAATAAAGTAGAGAAAAACTAGAGCGGCAAGGTCACTCGCTGATAAAATTTTCAAGAACATTTCTGTTCCATCTGTTATACATATGTTGAGCATGTATGCCTCATTTGAACTTGGAGTATTAAACTTGCTTGCAAAATTTTGAGAATCTCTTTGTTAATACAATTATAGATTTCAAGCGTTTTGCAATTTTTCTTTGGAGTTCTGGGTAACTGACGCTGGCTACTTGAAGCAGCAAAAAAAACGAAAAATTGCATTTTCTCCTACGTGAGGTATCAGTGCTCGAAATCAGGCGTGTCCACAACCAGAGGATTCAGCTATTAATGGTCAACAGCAAATTGCCATTTTTTTTTCGCATTTTTGCTTGCTTTCCAGGACCCGCGTTCAATAACAATTACAAGAACATTTATAAATTACGCGAGGGTACACTGCCGTTGCGACAAACAATCGCGCAATTTCATTTTGGAATGCACAAAAAAAATATCGAAGTGCAAATTCCCCAGGAAAACAAAATTGAGTTCATCGCGGGGGGCTCTATTGGACGCGAAAAGTACAGGAATTTATTCGTGTTCAATTTAAATGAAAATGGACCATCCGCGCGGCTTCAAGCGGCGAAATTGAATGAGCAAAGATGGGGCGAGCAAGTAGAAGTTCATTTTACCATACCTCTCCCTCCCACCTAGCATAACCAAGCGATGAAAAAAAATACGTGCCGCTTCGTTGACATAGGTGGTCCGGAAATTATACAATTAATTTCCTTACAATATCCGGATTGTCGGGTTCCACGCCCAACAACTCGTGATATCAATAGAAGGCTAAATGATCAATAGAAGAACCTTCTATTGACTAAGTAAAACTAAAGCGTTTTACAAGCTGAATGATGTAATAAAATTTCGTGAGCTTTAAGCAACTTTTCTGAAACAGACGTTAATAACATTATACAAATTAAGACTTGATTAAAGTTTGCTGACAATTGAAAAATCATGTTTTTTA